CCTGAGCCTCTGACAGAGCTGGGGAAGTGAAACAAATTCAGGTTTCCTTCAGGAATTTGTGGGCAAACATTCAAGAAACAGCCGCGTTCTTGGTCCTACATGAAAAATTTATGACTGACTCCAGAATAAGATCCAGTGCAGGGGTTGCCAAGCAATGATGGGAGCATCCTGTAAAACTCAACTCAATGCTTACAGAAAATTAATTTGATGGAGATACAAAAAGACAGCTTGGGTACTTCCAAACCAATCCTAGGCAAAGAAGTACATGGGAATTTAACCACATTTTTTTGATTTCTCTGTAAAATGTCATTACCCCTACCAACCCCTGTTGACTTTCAGACTTGTGGAAACAGGAAATCAATTAAACAGTACATGTGTAACAACGTGAAGTTGGCAAAAAGAATCTCAAAAACAATTGAGAATGATTGATGCAAACGGCTCCCTGCCTGTTGTCGCAAATGCTTGCCATTGTATGTTGTAGTATGACATTACAAGCTATTGGGTTTATGGAGCAGCTAGGTTTCTGTGGTTGGTGTTTTTGCCTCAATTATTGGAATCATAATTTGATAACTTCACTTTGTTTGCTCAGAATAAATGCGAGAAAAGGCACTCTGCCTCTAAACGTTGCACGTTTGCAAAGGCAAGCCCCCAGAGACCGGCAGTCTGTCGATGCTTTCCAGAAAGTGTGGATTTCCTCAAAGCCAAAGACTCTTTAATCACCGGCTCACGCGCCTGTGCACGGACACACTCCAGCTGACAAAACAAGGGTGGATCTCCCTATCCTGGGTCTTCCCTCGTCCAATACAAGGCTTTTCCATCGGGACTTCTCGAGGCTGGCTTGCCTCCTGGCAGGGGGCCTCTCTCCTTCAGAGAGGGCTTAGCCTGGGCCATGTGGGAAAGTTCCTGCCTGCCAGAACGCCGCCGCTGCTCAGCACGGCGCTGGATAATGACACGCCGAAACGCAGCCAGGAGAAAATAAAAGCAGAGGATCGGACCCGGCAACCTGGCCATGCTGTCGATAGAGCGGAAAGCACTCAGGCTTATATGATGACCACACTGCCCTATTTGTTTGTCAGAAGACCCACATTTCAACAGCAGGGACTAGGTCAGCGTGAGAGCCGACTGCCTGGCCGCCCGCATGGAGCTCAGGGATGTTTGCGCCATACTGCTGGCTTTCTTCAAGAGGAATGGAGGAGGGAAACATGGAGGCAAAGTCAAAATGGGGTAAGGATTATCCAACTTCTCTGGATACGTCCAGAACTCCTTGAAAAGTTTACCCAAGACCTGTTGCAATTTCCTGAGCAAACTCCAGGTGCCCGGGCATGTTCCACGTTTGCGTTCACCTGCATACAAGATGAAGAGTTTCTCTGAAGATCATCATAGACCTGCGGCTGACGATTGATCGGGCCCTTAATTGCATTTCCTGAACTGCTGACGAATGTTTGGAATTCAGCCGGAGTGGCTCAGAGGTCAAAAGAGTGAGAATTGGCTTTCACCTCAACGCGCGCTCTCCTTCGTCCTTTACTCGCCCTCTTCTTCCCTCCGTGATGCACTCAATATTTCCTTGGCTCGGTTTGTGATAAATCATCCTTCCTCTCTGAGAAAGACTGTTTTAACATTAAGTGATGCTTGTGTCATCTGAGAGTTATTTCCCATCCATCATAAGCATTTAGCACGGCACGCCGTCCATGTTAACAGGGTTAAACGGAGCTGCATTTACAGTAATGACAAATTACAGAGTTTATCTTCAGGGATGTTTTACCGGGAGCTCGTCCAGTTGTGGCCTTAATGAGATTTACCGCTTTGGGAACTGGAATTAATGTATTTCTGTGTGTTTTTTAATGAATTTACACCACATTTAAGAAAGCGTTTATGCAAATTCACTTGGATTTGCACCGCATCGGGCATTTCCGAATATCATGTCCGACTGCCACCCAAGAAGTTTATTTTTTTGTCGTTCTCATCGAGCTAGGAAATCAGTTTGCTAATATGCTAAGGCATTTATTTAAACTATGAAAAGGATTCTGTTTCTATGATGATGCTGAGCAGAATACAAAGTGAGGTTGTTTTTTTTCAGTCTCTCCAGTCCATCACTATCACTTCAGAGTGCTCCGAAGTGCTCTCCCCCCGGCCGTCAAATGGACTCAAACCGGTCCTGCGTCGGCTTGCATGGAACTTTAGAGGCAGCGTGAAAAATGAAACGGATCTTTCGGAAAACAGGAGCTCTTTCAGGTGTGCTGGAGCGAAAACCCCAGACCATTTCCTCCCGTTCTGCAGGGGTGGAAGTTTCTTCCCGCCCCGCCACTTATTGACTTGAAGGTCGCCGAGGAAGTTTGTCTGCTGGTTGTCGGTCATGTGCGGGCCACACACATTCACCCCCCTTAATTCCACATTGATTGCTACTCTTGTGTGTGAGGTGTTTTTACTCCGCAGCATTAGACTCACTCTGACTCCATCTGTTGGCTGGCTTAATGATATTTCCTCTCATCTCGGTTTCATTGGTGCGGCCCCCTTTTTTCACATTAATCATAACCCATCTCACATTACCCCTGTCGCCAGGTTCTACCTTAATTTCAGCAGATCAGATTATCAGAAATATTAAGCGCTGTAGAAAATGAGGTGTGAGGAAGTACCAGTTGCAACAGGTTGGACTGTTTTCACAATGCTTACACAGAGAAAGGGAATTAAAAGTTGGGTGGCAGCTGAAGGATCAAGCCAGACATTTATCTGTGGGTGATCATCTTCCTGTATGCCCTCAGCTTGTCCGTGATTCCCGCCTGCAATACTGATCAGGCCTGTCCTCAAATCCGTGACCTGGGGTCAGAGTCTCAGGCCTTAAAGGCTCTGTATGTCCAGGTCTTCCTTGCGCTATAAGTTGTTCTGATTAAGGCCAGTGTTTAAAGCTCTTTCACGGTGCGGTCAGCAGCTAGAGGCCTGATTACAGCCGGCTTTATCAGCCTGGACAGATGGTGATGATATCGCTGCATCCTGCCTGCCTTCGACCGTTTCACCCACTGACCTCGCATCCAGCGTCCACCACCATCTATTTGGCATGTTTGTAATGGGGCGGAAAGGCTTCTGTGTTGAATCAAAGACTCGTGTCAGAGCAGCAATTTCAAATTTTGTCATCTAAAGACATGATGAATCTGGTGATTTGTAAAGTCACATACAATCTTTCGCATATAGTGCACTGGTTGCATAAAGGAAGTGGCTAACGATTAAAGTTTTTTTTTTCCATCATTACTGTTTCTGTTTATCATGTATGAACTAATCACAATGTGTTCATAAAATCACGAGCCTTGTGTTGTCGAATAATTAAGAAACACCTAAAAACCGAGAACTGAAGATCTCTTTCTTCCGGTAAGGACGGTCCTTCTGCCGTAACGGCCCGCTGAGTGATCCCGTCGTCCCGTTCAGACGTGTCCGGCTTCATCAAGCCGAGATGATCTGATGCCGCGGCGCTTGGCAGGCGAACGGCAGCGGAGCCACGCGTCTGTTTTGCATGCAGCCCGCAGCGTCAGCAACAGATTGTTTTTGAGCCGATCAGGCCTTGAAGCTCAAGGTTACTCGCTTCGCGTTTGCCGCTGTGATTGCCCTTAATTTGAAGCCATCAGCAGCCACATATGCGATGGACTTGCACCTACAAACAAACAAAAAAAAAAAAAAGTGGTCCAATAAGCTGTGAAGTGGAGCATGAGTGCTGAGCTTTCTCTGCAAGGCAAACGAAGCGGTCCAAAAGCCGTTTCCACGCTTGCCGTGTGTGAGTTGATGTGGATGCGCTTCTGAAAATATAAGAGAGAGAATCCCACCTGAGGGAAGAGCCATTTCAGACAACAGACGCCTCAGAGAGATCGGACTCTGCTCGTTTCAGGAGATTTCAGCCCACACGTTAGCCTCCACTCGTCTGCTCACACTTTGATCGTCGCATCATATCAGAGACTGAATTTCCATCATAAAGAAAACAACTCAACCAGTTCAAATTTGTTCCAAAGATTCACTCGAAAAGCAATCGTCTACGCAACCTCAAAGAACCTCAAAATATCAACCAAAAAAATTTCCCATTGGGGTAAATTTAGCTATGATGCTAATTTGATCCACCAGGCAATTAAGGAATGAAACAGACTGTTCAGCTTTGGTATGCTAGTTATTTTGTTGATGGTCAAACAAGAATTTGAAGCTGAGTCAAAATAAATGTTTTTCAACATTTATTCGGTTTTTTGTTCTTACAGAATTTCAAGTATAGCTGAAACACTGAAAAAATCCTATTTCTGCTCTGTCCCAGAAGCTTCTATCCTTTTAGCAGATTTTTGATAGCATGTTGTTTATTTTATGATATCATATCTAGAAAATATTTGTCATCCTGCATATATTTCATTGCACTGCGAAGCTCAGGGTTTAGAACATTCGGCTTATCAGCCAAGTGCAACGCAGCTGGCCATTTGTACGCTTCAACTTCCATGAACAACGTGTAGTTCTCACTCCGACCAGTAGATGGTATCAATCTTAGCGGCAGATGGATCAACCAACATTTCTAGTGTTCAGATGCATCAGAAGTTCCCGGTGTGAAGCTAATTAGCACTTAATAAGGGGTTAAATGTTAAATGAAGGAATTATTATCGGTCTGACTTTGCTCACTTATTTTGTAACATATCGTATACCCATGAAGCTCATTGCTGATTGTTTGTGTTGTTACCTGAACGCCCCATGACGAGCCAGCTGCCACAAACAAGAGCATTATTTGCTTTTCTCCTCACATTTTAAAGCAGTGAACCCCGAGTGACACAAGATGGAAAAAAAAAAAATATATATATATATATATCTATCTATATATATATATAGATATAGATATATATATATATCTATATATATATAGATAGATATATATATATATATATATCTATCTATATATATATATATATAGATATAGATATATATATATATACTGTGTTGTTTAGAAGCTCCTCAGCAAAAAAGCATCCTTTCCTCTGTGCTGTGTGCAGGATGGAAGAGACGGTGCGGTCGCTGCTGCAGAACCAGGGCGGCGTCCTGGAGCAGAGCGCCGTGGACTCGGTGGACATCATGAAGGCCTACAAGGTGGGCCGCTCCTCTGCTTTGGAAAACCTTCCTGGGAGCTCGAAGTTCTCCTGTGACACGGTTCGAAAGCACAAACATCCTTCAAAGGATTTCATGAACAAGTCCTGCCCTGTCGGCAGCAGCGGTTCGTAACCGGTCTCACATCAGAGCATGTGGCTCCCTGAGAGGGAATAATGTTTCCACCGTCTTACTTTGAAAAGGACCAATTTTTTTTTCAAATTTTTTTTGTCGCGTAAACCTCCGCACATTGAGGTTACAATTAGAAAAAAGTGTTACATACATCAGGATAAATAATTAGTTTTGCTGACATTTAGTCAGGCCCTCCATTTTTGTTTTTTATTTGCAGAAATTTATGCAAAATCAACACATTCTTACATTTTTCACATAAATCGTCAGCTCCTGCTTCAGGACTGTTTAAAGGTGGTCAGACATTAATTTTTTGTCCGTTTGTGCAGTTTGTAAACAAACGCTCCTACTGTGATCAAAACTGTCAGAGTGAATACACATGGACGCCGTTTATTCCACTCCCAGCGGATGTTTAGCGCCGGGACGTGTCCCCCCACCGCCGCTGCCTTGTGTGTATTCAGCGGACTAACTCAATAAGCGCCGTGACTCGCTGCGGATTATTACCACGGCGTCCGACGGCGCCGAGCGGACACCGCCCAACTGAAGACAAATCAAAGCTGCAAAGTGTCTCAGCAGCCGGCGGAATCGAGCAAGATTGAAAAGCTAATATGTGTTGGAATGAGATTGAATCAAAGCAAAAACAAAGTTCCTATTTAAGAGCGAGCGGCGTTTGGATTCAGATGAGCGCAGCCATCTATCAGCGCCGCGCGTCGGCTCCGCAGCACATTAACTAAAGATACCAGACAGCTGACTGGTGGAGCTCAGGTAGGACATGAGTCACGGCGACATACCTGCTCTTCATCTGACTAAATAAAGTCAACAAAATGAAAAAAGCTGCAAAAATAAAATTTATTGTGATTATTGGTATTTGTTTTGATTGAAAAGGTAAGGGGTGAGCCACAGCTTCATTTTTCCATAATCCACATTATGGATTGAGATGGTTAAAAATTGAAGGAAAAACAATACGTCCTTTATTTACCGTATTTGATAGCCAGGGGTTTATGGCCTGCTTTAACAATCTGTGACAAACCCTTGATCTCTATAGGGTTGGCTAAGAATAAAACATAAAAGGCAAATATGTGTTTTAAAGAATTAAAATGCAAATGAACACAGTTGGAAGAAAGTGGAAATGTATTACTTTTATTAAGCTGCAGGCTATGTTTTTGTTATTTTTACTTTAGCCTAAAAATTCCTTTAGTTATAGCTCCAAAACAACAAAATAAAAACCCTGCAGGCAATAGTTTCCTTTGAAACTGAATGGAAAGGCAACATCTAAATATTAGACAGTCATAATAATGAAGGACAAGAAATTAAGCTAACATGGCAAGCAGTTAAAAAAAGGTTCCAAGCCTCCCATCACGTTCCCCTTAAGCCCCGCCTCTCAGACGCTGTGTCCTATCAGGAAACAGACACTCCAAAGCCGAACGTGTCGTTAGGTACGCCACTTGGTGGCGTCTGCATGGTTCGTACATCGGTGCGTCAAGGGACGTCTTAACGAAGCTCTGCCTCGCAACGTTTCCTTTACAAATGTATGCAAAGCTTTGTCCATATTCTGCTAACACCACAATTATAATTACGCTGTATATTAAATGAGAAAGACACGAAATAAATTAAAAATCATGCCGGTGACGGCGGTAATTCAGCCGTGGCGCTAGCGCTCATCACCTATCAGCCAATCAGAGGAGACGTCGGCATCTGATACAGGCGTTCGAACAACCAGAATGGGAGTGGCTACGTAGGCATTGTAATCTGCCATTTTACAGAACAGCCTTGGATTTAACATGTTATTTTATGAATATAGAAGTATCCGTCTCATATTTATGTGTTATTTCAATAGTCCGCACTGATGTTTAGATGGAGGAAGTGAGGTCAAACTGCTTCCTGTTTCCCGTCTCCGCAGGATAAACTGTCAGAGGAGGAGCAGAAACGGAACGAGGAGCCGGCAGAGAGCGACGCGCCTCCAGTGGATCAGGAGGACAGAACCGGGCCTCTTCTGGAGCGCCTCAAGGCCTTGGAGGTGAGCTTTTATTCTATGGGGCAAAAAAATCCATTTTAATTCAAAAATATAAATCATTTCAATTTAATTGTTGGACTGAAGTAGGCTATTTTTATACCGCTAATTCTCGAGAAGGCTATTACTGAAACTAAACAATAAAAAATGAGATTGTTGATAAACATTGAGACTAGTCTGGGTTATTTTAAAAGTTTATTTTTATTTATTAATAAGAAAAAATATTTGTGTTCTGTGAACATTTTACAAATGTTGGTATTTCCATGCTGGGCCAGCAGGGGGCGATAACATCCACCTGAAATACATGAAAGGGCAAAAAGGCAGCTTGCGATTGGTCCAAAATACTCAGAGTTGTGATGTCATTGTTTATGGAGAACATTTATAGCTGAGAAGGTTTTAGAGCCAACATGCGACTAAAAGGGGAAAAATATCCAAACTAGAGCGACAGTTAAAGAGGAAGATGATTATTTATTGAACGCTGTTGAACATTTCAACCTGTCTGCTGGTGGTTCTGGTTCTGGTTGTGTGTTAGCAGCCTGAATAAATCCACTCACTCTGTTGTTTTAAGATGATTCCTGTTCTGACCATCACAATGCGTGGAGATGTGAGGGGTTTCCTAATAATAGAGGCGCCAACACAACAAGGCGTTGTTTAATTACTCATCAGTCCGCCTCCAGAACCAATTCCCACGCTCTGACGGTTTAATTAGTCAGCGTTTGGGCCGCGGTGGAATGTTTCGGGCCCCAATTACGTTTTCCATGTTTCCATGCAGGGCCTGGTGGGTTGTGCTGAAAGGGCAGAGGGCGAGCAGAGCGCAGCAGGCTGACAGCTCCTAATGCGCCGCCTGCCTCTGACAAATTGGAAACCCTGGAAGATCAATAGCGCGCCGCCTCACCACTCGCCAAACAAAGGAGATATTCTTATTAGATCCAAACTCTCTCAGCACAAAAGTTCAACATCATAACTTCCGTCCCCTTGACCTTTTTCTCAGTTGCACTTGGTAATGCTTTTTATCGGCCGCCCCGGTTCAAAGTTGACATCTGACCTTTGTTATGGAAGCCTTCCTCTGATTGCTGCCGGCGTCGCTCAGCGGTGCAGCGTGTAAACTGACGCGAGCGTGTCGTTTCAGGAGGAGAACTCGACCCTGGCCCTGGAGAACGAGAGCCAGAGGGAGCAGTACGAGCGCTGCCTGGACGAGGTAAGCCACCGGTCGGGTTCTGCTGCACGGAGGTCAACATGAGGCCGCCGTCGAGGCTCCACAGAGCAACTTGGTGACATCTAGCTGTAAAACCTGCAAACTGCAACAATTTCACCGTAGTCGATCTTAAAGGACTGGCAGAATGCGAAAAACGTGGCAGAATCTGCAACCACGATAAACCAAAGAACAATTTATAACAGAGAAACTGCATCAACTGGAGATGGCAACGAATCCAGAACACAGGTGAACTGATACAGTCAGAAATAAATCATTTGAAAGATTTTCAAGATTGAAAGAAACCAGAGGCATCTGCAGCATATTGATTCTTATGCTGTTTCTGTAAAGTTACGAAACCCAATTTCTAAAGGTGCATCATAAGGAATATAGTGCCATCTAGTATTTTTAATAGCTCAGCAAACGCACTTCAGTCAAAGTACAGCAGAGACCATTGGTAACTGCCCAAATGGTTGGCATCAGAAACGCCTGCCGGTAAAAACTTTGGTCTAAATCAACCACACCAACTTCCCGTCGTCATCCCTGCAGCTCATTTGTAACTTTTTGCCGCTCCAGGAAACGTGGGGAAGGTTTAATATCCATAAGTGTGTATCGGCGGAGCAGCTGAAGTCGCCGTTTACATAATAATTGCCCTTCGGAGCCTGCTGGTTATTCGAGAGGGCCTGATAAGCGCAGCTGGGGGAGCCGCAGCAGACTCTGGATTGCTGCGGGACAGCAGGTCCAGCAGGAACGAGTTGAGCGGCTCGTCCTGGACGCCGCGCAGATTCCCCCGGAGGAGCGAGGGACTGGGATGAAAGGACGAGGAGGAGGAGGAGGACTGGGAGTGATGCCCAGCTGCCTCTGCAAGCCTCCAGCTGCAGAAACGCTTAACACACTGATCTCCATGTTTACCCTGCTCTTCTGCTCATTCAATAATCCGGAGTGCGGCTTCACACGCTATTAATGAGCAATCGATGACGGTAATGGGAGCTGCGTCTCCATCGGCCTTGTGGTCTGAGCTACACGAGGAGTGTGAGGAACAACAGCACTTGATCCAGTCGGGCTTCTGCCTGCACATCAGCCAGCCTGTCGATACGAACAGGAAGGCACCCGCTGCATCGGAGCGGCGCACCACAAACACATGAACAAAACTAAACTGCTTGGATCTTTAAAGCTGGAGAGCCAGTCATGCATAAAGCTAAAGCCGATCTTTATCTTTTTCTCTTCCAGGTCGCCAACCAAGTTGTCCAAGCACTTCTCACACAAAAGGTTTGTTTCAAATGTTAATGATAAATAATCACAGCGCCAGGAGGTTAGAATATGTATCGAACTGCGCTTAAATTGTGAATTCAAATATGACGTTTTAAAAAAAGATTATGTTGAGCCTAAGTGGTAAGTGGATATATTTGCGCTTTATTTGTTACAGGACCATAAATCTCTGTTTCCCCATGAACACAAATAATAGTTTTTTATGTGGAACGAATTAATTTGAGTGTCTGTGTGGGTGAAAGGTGAAAACATGTAAAAATGTCCTGGTTTTTCCAGGACATGGTCTGTTGTTTGAGAGGTTTTTGTTCTTTGGAGGAGCAGTGGCCGGAGTTCTGATCGTTACGCCCGGCTGTGTGTTTGTGCGTCAGGATCTGAGGGAGGAATGCCTGAAGCTCAGAACCAGAGTCTTCGACCTGGAGCAGCAGAATCGAGCGCTGAGCGTTTTGTTCCAGCAGAGGATCAAACCCGCCTCAGACCTGCTTCTCCAGGTGAGACCGACGCCTCTTGACCTTTCACCTTCCGCAGCTCGCTTGGGAAAATCCATTTTACTAAAACGATCTTTTTAGATCGGAGCTTTGCAGAAAAGTGTTCCCTCGTGTAAATAATCTATTCCGCCGACACTTTATTAAAATACAATTCTCAGAGCTTTTTCTACGTCATCAGATCTGAGTCAGCCATTTTCTGCGGCGCAGAAAAAAAACCATCTCCATGTCCTTTTAGAGAGCTTGTTTTGTTTCTGATTATTTTGTGTTAAAAAGCTCTGGTTCTGACTCCGTCTTTGATTCGACACGTTCAAACCAGGATGGATCCAGTGGTTATGTCGGGCCATAGCTGCGATTCAAATGGATCATCTTCATGGTCCTTCATGGCAGAAGATCCTCCCTGTACGTATAAGCTCTCCGTTAAAACGTGAAAGAAGACCCGCCACGCTCCGAAGAGAAGGACACTTTCAAATAATTGTCGAAATTGCTGCAGGGCAATTTACTGATCATATTAAAGGGACAAAAAAAAAAAAAAAAGCAATAGAAATAAGAGGAGAAAAGAGCTGTCATTCTAGTCAGACAAGAGGAGACGGAGAGAGGTGAGGATGGAAACGGGGAGGGAAGATAAGAGAGAGAGAGAGAAGACAGAGGAGTGAAAATGGAGAGAGATGAGATAGCAGAGAGGCTCCTGCTCTGACAAGAAGGTCAAATTATGAAGAGGCTGAAACAGAGTAAATGGAGTAAAGACAAGAGAGAAGAAAGAAATAAAATCCGAGTGCGTTTCAAAGGGATTTGTCAGTTCCTCGCTGTGACTTTATTGAGCAGAGAGGAGCGACGCTAAGTGAAGCCGTTATATAAAAGCCTCGCCGAGGAATATTGATGATACCACCAAGAAGTCCAATCTCTCTGAAAATGCGCGCAGACCCACAGAAACATGATGGAGTGCAGCTCAGACCGCAATTTGTTTCCCCCCACCCCTTTTCTTCGCGACGGCAGAGATGCCATCTATAAATTAGCCGTGCGTCGTCGTCAGGTGGGGAAAAAGGAAACGAATAACATTGTCTGTTTACGTGAGCGACTGATCAAAGTTCTCGCGTTCGTGACGGTGTCTTCTTTTCTGTCTTTTTTTTCCGTCTTTAAATTAGGAGCGACTTTCCCCACGACCAGCCGGGGGATTTATTGTGCGTGTTTATCATAATACGGTGACGCCACGGCGGATGTTCGCCGCATTCATTATGAGTTGTGTTGTGTGTGGGAGAGCTGTTAAAAAAAAACAAAAAAAAAACGACTAAATCTGTCCGTGTCGGCGTGGACGGGGACATCCTATCTGTTCTCCCTTCTGTTATTTGACTGCTGTCCCAATTACAGAGCTATATGGGAGGATGTAACGTCTTTGTTGGACGTCTGTTTAATATGAAGACACAAACAGCCCGGAGGAAGGTCTGCTCACTAAACACATGGCCACGCTAAAAAGACGTTCATCTTTTTCTTGTTGCTGTAAAGAGATCCAAGTCACCAATGTTTTGGTAAAGAGAATTAATCTGAGGTAAAGATAAATAACTGTAAAAAATAACCTTGACATGTGACGAGTGAAAACAAACAGCATTTTTTAAATGAGCTCAGTTTGATGAACTGGAATATTTAGTTGCGATGCAACTCAAAAACAAAGAAGCGAGGTAAAACAGGAGAATAAAACGCACTTTTTGAAACAATCTTTTCGGCGTTGTCGTCGCGCTCGGCAGCAGAATATTAAGAGGATCAGAAGAAAGCCTTCAGTTTATGAGAAGCAGATAGATGGGTGGAAACAGAGAAACGCCCCACTCTCCTCCATTTTGTCCCCAGGAGCCACACAGACCTAATCAGGCGTGCGCGCGTGTTGGATTTCTGGACCTTTTTGCTTATCGGTAATTAAACGGCTCCGGCTTCCCCACGGCGTCTCCGGTTCCTCTGATAAAGAAGCGCTAACGCTCTGGCAGAGGAGCCCAAACGCTTCCCTCTGATTCCATGAAGGTTTTGGGCTCCGCGTGGACGAAGCGGCGGTGTGTGCGATTGCGGCGTTATCTGCGTGTCACGTTTGACAGGTGTCACACGAGTGACCCGTCACTGGGGGAAAACAGGTGTTTTTTTTTTCACAGATCACAGCAGAGGATGTTCAGCTGAACCTCATTAGGAAGAATAAAATAATAATAATAAGTCAGAATGTTAGCAGGCTGCTTGGTGTCACAGGAGCCTTTTAATGCGGCAGCAGAGGATTTTTATGTCGAAGGCCTTTCATAATAACCTGAACTTAAAGAAAAGGTGTGATGACATCAACTGTTGATCACACCATGCCTCTCTCAATATGTGTGTGTGTGTGTGTGTGTGTGTGTGTGTGTGTGTGTGTGTGTGTGTGTGTGTGTGTGTGTGTGTGTGTGTGTGTGTGTGTGTGTGTGTGTGTGTGTGTGTGTGTGTGTGTGTGTGTGTGTGTGTGTCGAGACTCTTCCCCCGATGCGAGTTTTTGACAGCGGTTGCCGATACTGACGGATTTGTTTGGAAGCTGCCTATTGCTGCTATTCCGGGCTGATATTCATTATCTTGAAATATGGCTCCTGTCAAAGCAAAACAAAAAATAAAAAACACACACACATAGCAGAGAGCCTTTCTTTCTTTTCTTTTCTTTTTTTTTTTTTTTTTTTTGTCTCCCTCGGAGTCTGGCGGAAACTTCTCAGGCTGCAGACGTTCAGAGACGCAACGATTTGCATGACGGATTACGGGAACTTTGAGGGGGGGAAAGAGAAAAATCGGTGACTTTGAGCGTCGGTCTCTAGTCTGAAACAGAGAGAAAAAACAACAACAAAAAAAAAAAAAAGAGAGAGAAGAAGCGAGCGGCTCCATCATCTTCCATTTCCATCTCCCCCCGTCCCGGTGACCCGGTGACACTATCGACCGCATGCTTGATGAGGATGCTGAGGAGGTGAAATGGAGCACCGCGCGATAAGATCGCGGGCCTGGGACGGCGCGGCGGCCACTCCCAGCCCGCAGCGAGGCCGACGCCCACGCAGGCCGCTTGGACAAAAACCACCGGGAAGTGGAAGGAAGGAAGGAAAAAATACACAAAACTCCTTTTCACTCTTGTGAGCAGAATAATTGTGCGACATCACCAGAAGAAAGTGTAGCTCAGTCCGTCCGCTTCTTTCTTCTCAGCAGAATCATTTAAGATTTCTGCTAATTATAAATACTAATTTGATGCGGATGTGTTAGTAGATGAAGCCAATACTGAAGCAGAACTTCATTAAATTACTGTTTCATTCTGGTCATTTATATTGGTAATATTGTCACTTTATTATCACATCATTTTGACTTTTTTTCTACAATTTATTTTTACTTTTTTTTTGTCATACAAATTTATTCACATAATATGAGTTAGTATGATTTTATTTTTGACTTAATTCTCTTCATATCACTTTATTCTGGCCCTTGTTCATGACAATTAATGATAATAATTTATTTTATTATTAGCACATGACATCCAAGTGGAGTTTTAATCATTTCTGTGTAATAAATGACTCAGATTAGTAATTATCGGGCAGTTCTTCCGTTCTCATGTTTTCAGAAAACGGTTGTTCAGCGTTAAAAAGAAAAACGAGCGTTTTTCTTTTTGAACGTTTTGCAAACATTCGAACAAAAAGGAGGTAAACAACAAAGCCCCGACGCTTTCGTGCCCCGAGTGAAATAATAATGCGGGCGTTCAGAGAGAGAAGCATTTGGTAAGGAACAAAGGAGGTCGATATGAACCGAAGCTTTTCTCGCAAACAAAATCACCTCTCGCCGTTTTTCTGTAATATTTATGATTTCTCGCAACAACACGAGCGTTTAGTTGTGCGAGCGGATCAGATGAGCGGAGCACATTTCTAAGTGAGCGCTGTAGCTGCTGCTGCAGCAGCCAGTGGAAGTGTAGCATAAGATCAAGTGTTCTGCTCCTCTTTATTTCCAGCTTAAGTTAATTTGAGCGTGGGGAATGGAGCATAATTAAGTTCGGAGATGAATGTGTGGGAACGCGTTTGGTTTTGAGTCCTTCCCCCTCATGTGCAAGAGTTAACTAACAGAAGAGAGTTGGACATAAATTTAAGGGAAGGCAAATCAAATGAATCCCAAATCCCCCAATGTAATTATTTCCTATTCACACTGGTTTTTTTTTTTTTTTTTGGGCCGGCTGATGACTGTAATGACTTTGAGAGGAGCGGATTCGGCTCCAGCGAAGGGAATCTGATTTGCAAAACAGCGCTCAACCTTGACCCAAAGTTCTCTCCGTTTCATATTTGGACTGCGCTTATAATTCAGTTCAGTTTCTGACTTAAAAAGAGCAAAGAATCAATAAAAGCCCTCACATCTTTCTGGGAGGCTTGCTTCAGTCTCCCGGGCTCTCTGTAGCTGAAACTCACCGCTCCGTGTCCTTCGCTCTTCTTTCTGCTTTGACTTACAGAAGCTGCACTCTCGGATCATGGATCTGTCTGCGGCCGACCTGCTGCTGGAGCCCGAGAGGAGCAAGGCTTTCCTGCTTTCCAGGAACTCCGACTCTCCTTCTGGTGTAAGCCTAACGACGGGGGGTCGTGACCTCTCTGAGACATAAATGCTTGTCATGTTACCAGAAAAGCATCGATTCAGACTCTACGTCAGTTAAAATGACTCCACAAGACGCACTGGAACATTAGTCATCTTATATATTATGCATTAAGGCTTGAAGATGAGTTTTCTCCTCCCCTCCTTTTTTTTTTTTTTTTTTTTTTTACCCCTGAGAATGTCACCTGATAAACTGAAACCAGGAAAGGGAATTATGAATCCTCTAAATGTCCACTTCAGACCCAAGTGGCGCTTCTTTTTATTTAACCGCTCTCTCTCTGAGGTTCTAATTTGATAAACGTGCGGTGATGGTGGCAGCAGTGCGTGAAAATTAGATCTTTCCGCGACAACTGCAAGATATTTCTCTGGAAAGATTTGGTCGGTCGGTGACTGAAATGCCATCAAGATGGTCATTAGGTATGCAACAGCAACCAGTCTGGAACCTGCCGCAACCAGTTTTAGCGAAGAGAAAACATCAAATAAACACAATATTATAGGCCACGATGAAAGTTTTCCTCCTAATTCAGATCCGTAACGTTTCGCCGGTTCTTAAAAAGGTCGTCTTCTATGTTTCTTTCAGGAGGTTCAGCTAAGTGGAAAGCCGGGCCTCCCAGTGGCCAAGTGTTTGAGCCAGCTGAGCCTGGGCGTGCCCCCGCCCGTCTACCCGCGCAGCAGCTGCAGCAGCAGCGAGATCTCCCTGTCGAGCGCATGCAGCGAGTTCTCCAGCGGCTCGTACACCTGGAATGACGGACGCTCCTGCGGGAAAAAGGTAAACCCAAACATCAGTTCCACAAAACAATCGCGAGTGGCAGCTCGTCAAACTTCCCTGCTCATTTGAGGCACTAATTAATCCCATATCCTCCTGGAAGAGTTTGATGACCATGACTATAAAAATACTCCTTAGAAAACTCTTAAAATAGATAATACACTTAAAGTCTATGGAAGTCGGGAGATCTTAAAAAATTGTTTTGTACTTTGACAAAACTGCTAAACCATGATCTTTTACAAGTGTTAACTTTGTCTCTTTTTGCTTTAAAGTCTTCTCTGACATGGGAGAAGAGGCTGAGTTTGGGTTCATCGGCTCCGAGTAACATCTGCGCCCCTTCAGAGGAGCAGCAGCCCACGCGATGTAAGGAGAGCCACATCCTGGAGGGACTTCGGAAGCTCCAGAGGAGGAAACACAGAAGCTCCTCCTGTTCTTCCAAGGTGTCCAGATCAGGCTATAAAGACTGCATGAACTCCAACGAGGGCATCTACTCCCTTGGAATCAAGAGCAGCAGCAAAGGGGTTTCCAAGCCCAGCCACTGTGGCAGGACTTTCACCGCTCGAGGCAAGCAGTTCTTCTACGATTCGGATGATGCAGATGATGAACTGGTGCAGTCGAGCCGCAGAGATGACATCCCCACGAAGGACTGCTGGTTTCACTGCAAGAGACTCTCTCACAGCATCTCAGATAGCTTGTGCAGCTGGGATGGGACGCAGGAAGGTGACGCCCCTTCAGGACCGATGGTTGCGAACTCTTGTTCTGGCTGTGACTCCAAAGAGCGTCCGGAGAAGCTCGTAAGTTTCCTCAGTTTTCTCTCAGACGGAGAGCACAAGTCAGCTTTTAGTAGACCGACCAAGCTCCACTCCAACCCACCTGACCCGGAAAGCACCAAGCGCCTCCGTGATGTGGACGGCCACGAGAAAAAGTGTAGTGAAGTCCGAATGTCCTGTGACCAACCGACAGAGCAAGCAGAGAGGGAGTTCAAAAGACTGTCTCGGGATGCTGCAAAGCTCCTTAAACAGAAATACTTGGGCAGAGACCAGGGACGCACGCAGTCTGCCGATGGGAGGCCCAAACCTTTAAGTCTGCTGAAGGAACCAAAAGCCTCCAAGTGTACCCAGTCTGAAGAAAGCATATTGGCTATCTTTGATGCAGAAGGGGAACCTATTGAGCTTTGTCCCCAAAGGCTTCCAGCAGATGCAGATCAAATTGAAGGGAGTAAAATTGCTGCTAACTATGCAGAATTAGTACCACCAGAGAGACCAGCGAGGCAAACATCTGCCAATACAAGAAATTATAATGTTCTGGAATCTCCAGAGAAACCTTCAGAGTGGGAGAGTAGGACTAGTAAATCAGCCAATAGCAAGGGGGAAAGTACAGAGAGGCTGTATATGCAGCCGACTCCACAAAGAAAGCTAATAAAACCACCAGGCGTCCGAGCAAGTAAGAGTCAGTCCATCCCTCCGTTGAATGATGCTGCCTGTCCCAAGACTAGTGGTTCAAAGATTCCTGGTCGCAACAAACCGTCAGCATCCCCTCTGAGGGTGTCTAAAGGTTCAGCAGCTGAGCCAAGCAATGGTGGAAACTCAGGATCCTCCACTCAGGAGAAATCCCCTTCCTCTCCTACAGTTAAAATGTCCAGATTCATAAAAACACAAACTAGCTCTCAGAGCCCAAAGGCTGTGAACTCCAAATGGAGTAAGGGTCCCTCATCCACTTCCCCCCACCTCCCAAGGAGGCTCCTGGAGTTTGGTGACACTAGTGAAAAACCAACTAGAGACAAACACTGTGAATCTAGCAAAAATAAACTCAGGTCTCCCTCTCCTCCCCCTCCCCCAGGCCGCACCACCTCCCTACTGATCAGACCAAACTACGAAGGTTCCCCTCAGGCACATAAAACAGGGGTGGCTCCACTATCCACACTAACCACTGTGAGGGGCCCTCCCCCAAGTTACTACACCTCATTGGCACCAAATATGCAAACCACTTTACCCATCAAGGATAAAGACTGTCTGGATTTGGATGCAGGCTATGGGACTGCACTTGCACCTCAGAAGCTGATCGAGAAAACCAGTCAGCACCTTCAGAAGTCCCCCGTTGTGACTCAGACTCCTACAAAAGGCACTTCCAGACTTACAAAAGACTACCTCCCTTCTGCAAACTCAGGGTCTGTTCGAGAACCTGACAATGCACCTAGAAGCTCAAAGAATGTTCCTCCTCCCTACAGCGCTCTCAGAGGCTCCTCACTACAAAACACATTTGCAATTAAGAAAGGACCCACTCATGAAAATGTCCACCAGACAGTTCAGAAGACCTCTATAAGTTTACCCATATCCCTTCAGGATTCCCCTCAATGTCAGCCAGAGCAGCAAAATGCTAAAGCTATCGTTAGCCCTCCGGCCTCTGCTGTTATGTCACCCAGCCAAGCAGAAAAAGCTGCTAAGACTCGCATCCCAATGGGCTTTAAAGCCTTTTTGAAATCACCTCCAACAAGTAAAAGTAGTCCCACTGTTCCTGGTAAGCAAGAGAAAGACCATATCAACTCAGTCTCCAAGGAGACGGTGACTTCAAATGCCTCAACCCAGTGTGATGGCTTGCAATCGGCGTTTAGTATCGATTTACCACCCAAGACGTCTTCAACAGAGGAGAAAGGTAAAGGTGAAGTCCAGTGTTGCGTTTCAGAAGAGGCCGTACATCCGGCTGTGTTGCCTGAGGAAGCCGATGTGTATGAGAAGGGGAAAAGGACCAGTCAGCTCTTTGGTCGATCCATATCCGTGACAACAAAGACCCATCTAAAGCCCGCCCTGGGAATGAACGGCGCCAAAGCTCGTAGTCAGAGTTTCAGCGCCAACTACATGGAGAAACCCAACATCAATGTGCCGGAAGGACTGGGGAAAGTTCGTACTCAAATCATTACCAACTCGGGTGAGAGGGGAAACTCTCTGTCAAGGCAGAGTTCTTTAGAGGTACCAGCTGTAGGCTTGGCTGAGAGTCCTCTCCATTCACCCAGGATGAGGCTAAGCCACTATGGAGGCATGACAGCTTCAACCAGTACCAACGGCCTCCCTGACAAACCCTCAAAGTCTGGCTCTAAGGGGGAATCTGTCACCTCCCCTACACATAAAGAGGTGCACAGTCAGCCGTCAGGTGAAAGGACAAGTTTCAACAACATCCGGAAACCCAAAGTGGCCTCTCACCCACAATTTCAGCCTCAGCCATCCTTCTATAGCCCTGAAAACCCTGCCAGAGAGAAGGAAAACCTGGTAACCAACTCCAACGAACCGGGCAAAACCCAGCTGGACTCGCCAACCAAACCAACCGACACAGAGGACAAGAAAATCAGCCCGACAGTTTGCACAATTGAAGAGAAAGTCATGATGGGCATCGAGGAAAACTTGCAAAAATCCCAAGAACAAGAGAAGGTAGCAGCCAGTGAGGCCAAACAGAAAACCGGCCCATCTCTCGCTAACTGGTTCGGCCTGCGAAAGAGCAAGCTTCCGGCTCTGAGCGGCAAGAAATCCGACTCCCCCAAAGGGAAGGAAGAGAAGAAGGACCTAAAGATCGGGTCTGTCCTCGGGGGGAAACAGGTCAAGCCTGACAAGAAAAAGGACAAGAAGAAGGAGGGCCAGGAAATCCAGAATCTGGATTTGAACAACAAGCTGAGCTCCATCATGGACCACTGCAACAATCAGATGGGTCAAATCGCCAGTCAGATTCAGAGTACCACAGCGTTCATCGGAAAAGACCAGTTTGTCAAAGACCTTCTTGGCAAGTGAGTAGAGAAGTATGATTCTTGTACTGTCCTACAGTAAAACCAGCAGCTTCCAGCCAACTCAGTGTTGGCTGGAAGCTAACAAACACTCCACATCTCCTCTCACCTGTTTGTTTTCCTCTCTGAACCCCAGCTGACAGGGTGGAAGGCTTTTCATGGAGGCTGTTAAACATTATATGAGGTCTCTGTGTTTGAGTGTGTTTGCCTTCGTGAAAGAGCAGGCTATTTCAGTTTATCAGCTCTCCAGCTTGACGAAGGCACTAGCCAATATATAAACCACATGCCCTTCCCTCTCAGGACGGCGGTGAAGGTCAGCAGCGTGACCGCCTCACCGCCCGCCATCTCCACACCCAGGAAGCACGGCGAGACCAAGGCGGACCTGCAGATCTGTCCCGATACGGCGGTGAGTCGATGAACTTCCACCAACTTCTGCTGCAGCCGAATGTTCCGGACTCCAGATTCCCTCAGGTTTCTGCTTACTGTTTCACGCTCGGAACAGAACGTCCATCCGCCTCTGCAGCCTCGCGTCCCCTTTGGGCTCGCTATTGATTCAGTTTGTGTTCCTACTTCGGCTGCTCCGCAAAAACACTCCCCGCTCATTTTCCTATCTGTTATCACCAGCCTCGGCTGATGGGAGGTACCGCAACAAAGACGAGAAAAGTTTCAGAGTCGTGTTAGGCGGCTCTAATCGTACCGAACCTAAAGAAGAATCATTTCACATTTTTGTCACATTAAAGCGACAACATCTAACAGACTTTATTGGAATTTTATCAGACTACCAATACAAAGGGCCATATAGTAAAAGATAATTTTGTCTGCATAGTACATTTTCAGCAACAAGGCAGTTCAAAGTGCTTTACATGAATCAGAAGGAAATACAAACAGAGCAACAAAATCGATCGACTGCCATTCTAATATGTTGACGATTTAAACTGTCGGGGTCATTGCGCAGCAAGAAGGTAAAAATTTTCCTTTTGGAGGGAACTGATCAGATCAATTTTTTCCACAGTAGCAAAACCGTCTAGTAGTTATGTGACTGACCAACAGGGAGACGTCTGACGGCGGGTCGCTGCTTATTAGGGGGTGGCGGAATAAAGGAGACTGAATACAAACCTGTTGGAAGATCGCAGAGAAGTTTCAGAGCCTGTTTTGATGCATTTCCGGATCCAGGGAACGACGGTGAAAAGGTCGAAGCAGAGTGAGTCAGCAGCGGTAACAAAAGGAGCGGAGTGAGGCGATGAGAGGGGCCGACGGGTCCGCGGCATAATGTGGGAAATTTAATCCAGATGATGCCGAGTCTCGATAAGGCAGAGGGAGCCATTTACCGCCGCCTCTCCGCTCCACAAAAGGGCCATTTAAAACCGTCCTATCTGCTCCCCACAGAATGCAACAAAAGAGGCGCATTTCATGACCCACAAGCGCCGCAGCAGCCCAATTAGAGCCAGGAAGAAATAAAGGAAAAAAAAACTCGCTTTTCTGGCAAAGAAACAATGTGAAGTGTCAGAAACGAACGGCCTCGACGAGGCTTTACAAAACTTTTATGTTGTTCTGAGGGTCTCTGTGACCAACATGGAGCATTTGTTGGTTTTTCAGACCCTGATAATAAGTCAGAAGATCAGCCTGAAGGCTGAGGAGGAGGACGGACACCTGGCCGACTCCAGCTGTCAGGACCACATGATAGGTAAGATCTCCTTTCTCCAAATGTTTGGTTTTCACTCATTTTCTTCCGGTTCTTTTCCGTCTCCACCATTTTGTCCGAAAATGGAGCGTTTCATAATATGTTGTTTTCTATTCCTGTTTCACTCATCGACTGGGCGCCTCTGATCCTTCCTGACCTCTCGCTCTCTTCACCCTGAGACTTTTCTCTCTGAAAGCCAGAAGCTTTGAGCCTGACCTGGAGAAGCCAGGATGAGGTCACCGTGACGGAAAATTGAGGTTTTGCAGGATTTCAACAAAACCTACGAGACAAATTTCTTTACAAATCGTCTGTTTTCCAGATTTCTTCCAATAAATTTCGATTTATAAACAGGGAAACATTTTGCTCATCTTGCCTTTAACGTTTGATCTCGTTTCATTTAAGCAATGAGACGTTGACGTAACATCCAAACATAATGCATAATAAAAAAATAAAAAAAACGTGAACAAACATAATCATTAAGTGATTGAAAACATAATGAAAAAAAATCTGATACAAATAAGTTCTACTTTAACAAAGGGATGGATGCATAATATAAAATGATTCAAAACAACAAAAAGATAAGTAAAGAAATGCTTAAATAGGTTAATAAATAATGGATAGATTATTTAATCATAAAGTATACATAGAAATTCAAATACATATTTTACTGTGAAAGATAATGACGTGAAAACAAAAAAGCAGCAGCTCCAGTTGCGTCTCAGATGGAGCAGCTAATGCTACTAATGTCTCCTCTGGTGTTTTTACTTCCTGTGGCTCATTTATATCGAAAAAGAGTTTATTTAACCTTTAAGCCCCAGAGTTTCTGGTTTATTATGAAACATAAAAAGCAGTTTTTTTTGTCCTGTCGGCCACGCTGCCGTCCTCTAACAGGCTAGCATCTTCGCTTTCTGCCTGCTCAGCCTTTCCCAGTCGGTCTGAATTAGAAGTGGCGGCGCGCGGCGCCCCTTCTAACCGACGGCAGGTAAACACATCAGTCATGGAAACGGTCTGTGCTCCGGCCCCCTCGTGGATCCGTGCCGGGGTCGGAACTTGCTCGGTAATCGTGTTGAAGAACTTTCGCTCCAGGTGTGTTTCTCTCATAAAGAGACAATAAAACAAAGCTCGACTCTTTGAACACCCTGCCAGGTGTGGAGTGTGAGCGCAGGACTTGGGCTTTAAAGCGTGACATGAGGATGGGCCGCGGCGTGTAGATGCCTGCAGCCAGCCTGCTGAAGTGATAGGGAGCTCATGAAAGCTAGATTAGGTCCAGTTGTTTCTGGCCGCTGGCTGAAATTACTGTGGACCTTGTTATAGCTGGGATATAGAGGGCATTTTGAACTGCCAGGCTTGGCATTCAATTACCCAGCTGGGTAATCTATGGCTCCCTGTTTCTCTCTGCAGCTCATGGCTGCATTAGCTGGCTGAACGCCACGCATTCAGAGCAGCATTTCTGCTAAACTCCACATCATGTCACACTGGAGGAACCGTCCTGGGCATCTAGATAGACTCAGAAAGACCAGAAAGACAGAATGACGCAGGTACGTTCCTGCATTTTAATTGGTTCAGGGCTCCAGGGGGCCATTGATTCAAAAAGCACCGCATCTTGATGGATAGTGACTCTCTACTGACCCCTGCGTCTCACAAAGAGAACTGCAGTGAGTGTTGAGCGTCCACGCTAACAGGAAGTCGGTTTGCCTGGAGTTTTTCAGCCAGTCACCATAAAACGCCACCGAACCAATGACGTATAGAAGAATCAGTTGTTTCTGTGGAACATGACTTTAAAACATCTAAAGTATCCCAAAGATAATGCATCATGGGAAGCTGGAAGACTTTGCCTCAATGCATGCTGACATGCTGCTAGCTGGCAAATCAGCAAATACAGGACATGGCAGTTATTTTCCTTAGCACTGATTGGCTGAACCCCCTAAGACATTGGACGTTAGCTTTAGCAGTAGCGCTAAGACCGTTTCACTGTGCATATTAAAGCACACTTAGCTACAGCTGGTGTTTAAACTGTTAAAACAGTTTCTGATAGGAGGTTTCAGGTATTAGCTGGTATTAGCTATAGCGTGGGCAGCTGTGACCCTTGACCTCAGTATTGGCAGGAGTATTTTGAGGACCATCTACTTTTAAGTGGAAGACTCCTCGTCATTGTAGCATGAACAGGACTGGAAGACGTCCTCCCTCTGATATTAGCCAGTCTGGCTAACCGGCTAACCTCTACTCATGCTGTTCTCTGCCTCTCTCTCCGACTCGCCCACCACAGACTCCCTGTTCTCCCCCCCTCCTTTCCGCTGCATGTAGCTCCGAGCCGCCCCCCCGTCTTGTTGTGTCACACTCCTCTAACTGTTCCTCTAGGCTCCAGCTGCCAGATGCGCACCCTGGACAGCGGCATCGGCACCTTCCCCCTCCCCGACTCGGTCTCCAGGGCCGCCGGCCGCCACGTCCCCAGGTCCGAGTCCAGCCCAGACCAGGTGACCTCCGACCCCTCGCAGCCCCATGTCAAAGTGCCTTCCCTCCCCAAAGCGCAGCCGCATCCCTCCACCGGCAGCATGGCCCACTCCACGTCTGACCCTGGCGGCAGAACGGGCCAGGACACCCAGAGCCGTCTGCCCAAACCCTCAACCTCAGGTGAGTCACCGAGCCTTCAGCCGAGAGAGACACGGGGTATGTTCTGGACAAGATCCACATTACAGAACCCTGACTACAACCAGAACCCAGACTGGGCCTGTTAATCCTGCTAGCTGAGAGTCTTCTGTCGATGCATTTAAAATTGAAGACTTAGAAAGTCTTAAATTCTAAGTCTTCAATTCTGGCCTTAAATCCTTGAATGACAGGTCTTAAATTTTGCCAGGATTATTTAATGTTATATATTGCATGTAGTTTACTTTATGTCAGGCAAAAATTTGAGTCACCTCAAACATCTTTATTGCGTTCCGTGACTCACTGCTAACACACCGTTGCTAGCTAGCTAGCTTTTTTGTGTAGTTTTCTGGCCAGTTGACTGGACAAAGTTTGTACATTTCTTTGTCGGTTTGGGTCTTAAATTCCCTTCATGGTGTTCGTCTGAAGTTTTTAGAGCAGATTTTAGTTGCCGGTCCGTTTCTGATGAACCGGTCTGCTTCCAGACGCCATCCGGACCAAGAGGCTGAGTCTGTTCGCCCAGCGCAGCAGCAGCAGCGACCAGGACAGGAAGAGGACAGCAGAGCAGGACTCAAAGGTGAGTCTGTTTCTGCTGCATTTGGAGCAAAGCGTGCTCGGAGAAAAAAAAAACCTGCTTTAAAACCCAACTGGTCTGTGTGGAATTCGCCGTGGTGGCAGCATGGTGATGTGGGAATCTTTTTTTTCTTTTATGTTTGCCGTCAATATCCAGGACGGAGTCCAGGTGGTGAGGACGTTCTCGGGGAGCGACATGGAGACGGAGACGGACAGAAGCGGCGCCACGGTAACCAGGAGAACCGTCTCCGGTAATATCCCCCCCACCCGCCTGAACCCCCTCAGCTCTGTGTCGCCATCTAGAGGTTAACCCGGTCCTGTCCCTCCTCACAGTGGAGCAGCGCGAGGACACTCTGAAGACCTCCCTGTCCATCATGGACTACTACCAGCATGAGATGCTGTCCCAGCTGGACACCCTGGACGGGTCGGCCCAGGACCGGATCAGCGTGAGTACAGAACCCCGCTCCACACCGCTCACTTTGTTTTCACTCCAAGGTTCTGTGCTCCAGGAATTGTTGGCCAATTCTCACTAAAAAAGAAGGAAAAAACCCCAGCTGTCCTAATTGCTTTCGATCGCCTGGGCAGCGGGTGTCGGCGGGTATTTGCCTACCAGTATTTAACGCAGCTGAATGACAAACGAGGAGCAGGGAGCATGAAATGGCCTCCAACGCTTGGCTCCCCCACGCCGACACCAAACCTGACACAAAAATCCATACGCTGCCAGAAAAAAGCTCCGACTCAACACAAACCCGATAGGAAAGCAGTTTGTGTTTGAGGAGCCGAGGGAACGCAGCTGGATTTATGGCCTCCAAACGCCTTTTCGCGTGAAATCTGACCCAGGGATTAAACGAAATAAAACACGAGCTCATTATGTGTTCATTTGAGAAATATTCAACAGATGAATGTTCTGTTAGGAAGCATTAATATTCAGCAGCTCACTCCTGGGAGTCTGAGCTCTAACTGCTGACAAATAGCTGGATATGTAGAAAAATTCAGTTCTTAAAACTCTTCATGCAACAAGCTTCAGCTCACCTTGTGAAGTCAATATGCTTCCTTCTGCATGCCTGTTGTTTTTCAGAGGAAAACTTTTGCCGTTCTCACTTTTTATGAGGATTTTGTTTTCTTTCACTTTGAAATATTCTATTAATTTTTGGCTTGCTTTATGAAAGCGTACTATCTGTGAGCTGAGAGCAGCCAACAGGAAGCTGAGAGCAGCCAACAGGAAGCTGAGAGCAGCCAACAGGAAGCTGAGAGCAGCCAACAGGAAGACGAGAGCAGCCAACAGGAAGATGAGAGCAGCCAACAGGAAGCTGAGAGCAGCCAACAGGAAGTTGAGAGCAGCCAACAGGAAGCTGAGAGAAGCCAACAGGAAGATGAGAGCAGCCAACAGGAAGCTGAGAGCAGCCAACAGGAAGCTGAGAGCAGCCAACAGGAAGTTGAGAGCAGCCAACAGGAAGTTGAGAGAAGCTAACAGTAGGGTGAATAACAGAGCTGCTCTCAGCTGAGAGTTGTGGAGTTAAAGAGTATCCAGCTCTGTGCTGCTTCTTTGTAGAAGTCTGGATTTGTCTGAGCTCTGCTGTGAGCTCTGCTCTGTTAGCAACAGAACTGCCAAGAGCTACTGCGTCCTTAGGTCCTCACACCAGTCTGAGCTCTAATTATCTGTGGTGAGCTGCCAGGTTGCTCTTATTTTGCTCGGCTGGTGCCTCCGAAGTTTTCTCAGTGAGTAAAGGAATCCCTCGTTGTGATAACAGTTTTGTTAGAAGCGGTGTTGAGCTGGTGATATTTCTGGCATTAGCCTAATTCCCAGACTGTGAATGAAGCCTGATGATGGATGACTGCTGCTGAACTCATTTACCCTACATTATTCTTTTGGAAAAGACAATCCATCCCACTGTCGCCCCGTCCTCACCCCGGCCGGCCGCCTCCCGCCGCTGGGCCGCCGACTCCGGAGACGGCGGCGTGGATCGGGTCCGGGGGAAGTTGGGCGGCTGTGTCGGAGCGACTGTGATTTAAGCGCCTTTAATAACCTTTCACAAACACTCAGGAGAGTGATGTAAAGCTCAGCGGCTCCCATCAGGGCCCTCACAGCCCACGCCGGCCTCCCATTCATCATCCTGACAACACCTGACAGCCCTGCTAACGGCGGCCCCCGCCTCCTTCTCCTCCTGGCCTCGCAGTCTCTCTTTCTCCCACACGTCTTCGTGTCTCGCGTTCACTTTTGCCTCTCTCTATTTTGCCTCCGTAGTTTTCCTCCTTACTTGACTCCTGCCCTGAACAGATTTGGCTTTCCCTTTCATTTTTCTCTGCTAAAGTCTCCAACTCTTCTGCCGACATCCATACGTTACGGGATTCCTGAGCCAGCTTCCATGGTCTCGGGGTGCATGCCGTCTCCCTCGGAGCGCCGCGGCCTGTTAGCTCCAGAAACGATCGCGCGGCAAAAGGAGAAGCAACATTTCAGTCGACAAGCAGGCGGGACATGGGGTAAATGAAATTATACTCGAGCGCAAATAAATTCCAGCAGCAGAAAAACTCAGAAGCCATCTGTAGGTGTCAGGAAGCCCATAACATCCCGCTCAATCACGCTGGGCTGTAATCGGCAGGGAGGCCTGTTTTTAAGTCTCCCACTTTACTCAGAAAGCTTAAACACGAGGTCAAATTTGTCCGCACTCTACCAAAGAAGGTATAATATTTAATAAAAAAGCGTTTTCGTGTATTTAAGTTCAGAGGAAATGGATTGTTCCATGTCAGATTTCAGGAATTGCTTGGAGTTTCTTCCTCTGGCGCTTTTACGATCTCACACCCGTCTTCTTGATTTACACTGATGATAGCGGGCCGGCCGATAGCGGCTAGCCGCTAGCATAAATCAAGAAGATGAGTGAGACCTTTAAAGTGCCAGAGGAAAACCTGGAAGCAAGGCCTGGAATCTGACATGGAACAATCCATTTCCTCTGCCCTCCCAACTAAATACCAGGAAAACACTTCTTTTTTTTTTAATTAAATATTATGTTAGCGGTTAGTGGCTAGCTGCTATCGCTTAGCCACTAGCTTCTTCCTGTTGGCGCCTAGTTGCCACCATTTATTTCAACACCATAAACTGAAAACCAGTCCTGTCATGAATGCTTGTTCCTCGCCGGCCAAGAAAGTTTACTCTTTTATTCAAAGTGTGAAGTTTCCTTTAAAAATTCTCACTAAATTCTGACCTGAAAACAGAAGCAGACTTTCCCTGGGGATGATTACAACGAAAAGTCTTATTGATGTTGTCAGTTTTTTTAAAAGTCTGAATTATGGTCTGCGTGCATTAAACTCTTTGGTAACTGCAGGTTTTATTTTATTGATAAATGTTTTTGGCTAACTGCAAACTGTATTTTAATCTATATTTTAAAAATCTGCTGGCACTATAAACTGCAGAGATCCAATTTGTACATATCCTGTTTGTATGGAATATGTATTTACATACAAGAAAAATAAAAAAAGGTTTTGATTTTTTTGCTCTTTTTGGCATTTAAAGTTTGCAGGCCTTATTAAGAAATGATGTATTTTTCACTCTTTATTACCATGGCAACGTGCAGGATCGTGGGCCCGGCTGGGGAAAGAACATTTGAAAGTTGTTTGATTTTGGCTCTGGAGATGTTGCAAACGATCACCAGCGAAAACCGCTTAAGACGGGCGCGTATTTAAGAGCTTCGCTTAGAGGAAGCGAGCGCTCTGCTGACACGTGGGGCGAGCGACGAGCATCCAGAACCGGAGGATCGGACCTCTGAAGCAGAAAATGCCGGCGCTCTAAACGGAGGAAATGTGTTCCTCGGGTTACAATAAAAGCCTCATGCTGAGCTTTTGTCACTGAATTCAAGTTAAGAGATCCCATTACTGACATGTGATGCAGAACCGATTGGTGGTGTGTGTGTGTGTGGGTGTGTGTGTGGGTGTGTGTGTGTGTGTGTGTGTGTGTGTGTGTTCACCTGGCTCCAGCCGGGTTGTTACCTGCAGCTGCGGCTGCTTCAACAGCTCCGCGTTTAGAGGCTTCAATCAGCTGCTAAATTACCTTCCTGTGGAATCAAATCCAATTAGAGATCGCACAAACACTTCTCTTCCTCTCGCTGTTCACCCAGAGAGCTTAAAGAGTTATTTTAGAAAGAATCGATCCCATCGCATCGCCGGCTCCTTTCTCCCCCCCTCGGCTGCAATGTGGAAAAGCAGAAGTCCTGCGAGGTGTGATGTGCGGGAGCTGAGCTGCCAGTAATTTAAACTCCACACCTACAAACAGCTGCAGTTTACACCCACCTCTTCTCTCCCCTAACAATCAATATGACTTAATAACAATTAAGTTTCCTCTTCTTCTTCTTTTTTTTCATTTTTTATTTTAGAATCCCTAACCCTATTTTTCTCTTCTCTCTTGCTGCTAAAAGGAGTTTTTTAAACGACCTGAACACTTTCAGAGCTCCGAATTTATTCCATTTTGCTCCTCGCACTTCTTGGTACAAGTTGGAATAAAATGAATGTCTAATGTAACACTTCAAAATGGCGCCGTTTGATGATGCTATTTCACTTTCTGGAAAGTTTCCAACGCCCGGCAGCAACCGGCTTCTTGGGTCCGAGCAACAAAAAAATCAAAGAATATGAATAAAACAAACCAAACAAAACCAACCTATGATTATTATTATAATCTTAGCAAAAAAACAAAAAAAAACAAAGACGGGTCAGACAAAGCAAGAACCAAATAAAATGTCTTTTTGTGATTCAGTTGAACAAAAACCATTAAATTGCCAAACAAGGTAAATAAATGAAATGGTGAAAGATATTTTTCAGGCTTTTCTATTATGAAATGCAGTGAACCCCACATTATTCACATCTCAGCAGTTGTGTGTTAATTTGTTTTTTATATTTCCAGTAGTGTTCCAGAATCTAGGTATCTGAAATACTAAAAGCCACTTGATACACTACAGGCTGCACAGCCAATCCAGCAGGCCCAAATGAACGCTGATTTTTTTTTTTTCTTTTTTTGACTTCATAAGAGTTATTTGTAATTAATATGAAACAGGTATTTTATTGTTTTGAAATTAAACAATAAAAGGACTTAGACTGTAGATGTTATTAGCAACTCTTCCTCTCCGAGGTTCTCCAGAACCGGTTAGACCGTGACAACATTGTGTGCCCGACATCAGTTTTCTGTAACACAGAAAAGGTTTGAAATCATCTTTGAGTTTGTTTATTTATTTATTTTTTTTTTTTTTATGAGACAGGAAGGCGTACGGCGCACATTAAATCCTTTTGTTTTGAATTCAGACTGAAGAATCGCCTCCAGCGTCCATTAAAAACACCACAAACTTTGAATCGCTCTCCCGGCTCGGTGAGCCTTATTACTGAAGCAGCCGACTCGGTGCCTCTCCGCCCTGCAGCTAAACGCTAAGTGGTCCAAGGCAGCGCCTTCCCTGGCGGCTCGTCTTGTCGCCTGCAGCTCGCCCTCTCCTCCGCTGGAGGAGCTCCTCGGACGGCTGCCGTTGTCTCTCCGGCTGGAGGAAAACGAGCCGCTCCTCTCTGGACGTGGTTTAGCTCGTCTCCAGAGAGGCGAGGCTGAGGGCTAGCTTGTTAAAGAGCCATTTGAGATGCATTAGGACAGCTGTTTTCAGGGTTTATGTGTTGTTTTGTTCCACCTCTGTCGACATGCAGGCTCTTCCTCTGTAGCTGCTGAGTGTAATCGCTACCAAGGTGCCTATAAGCACTCGCAGTGGAGAAAGTAGCTGTCCACATTAAGAAGGGACGGATCACCCTGACCGTAAAACACACAGTCACTCGCTCATCTAATCACTAATGGCCTCCAGATAAGACTGCTGCTGCTAATTGAAGTGGAGCGTCAGTTTCTGTCTAATCTGTTGGACAGATGACATTTGACAATAAAAGCCAACGTGGTTATGGTAACTGGGAAGCCGACACTCAAGACGTTCATCAGCTGCTGGAGCTCAATTACAATCTCTCTGATTGCTTTGCTGGTCAAGAGGAGGAGTGAAGTCGGCGCTTGGCGTACGTTATTTCAGGACGTGCGCAGCGCGTGTGGTTCATGCCTGCTCTTTGTCGCCCTGCAGAAGGAGCTGTCGGTGGAGAAGCTGCCCGTCGGGCCGAGCCGTCCGGCCTCTCTCCACATCTCCCTGGAGTCCCTGAACAAGCTGAACCACGGCGGCGGCGAAACGGACCCCGACCTCAGAGCCGACGGCGACGCAGGCGGCAGCAGCTGCAACGGCAGCGAGCCTCTGCCGTCGTCTGGCTTTGGCAGCAGGCCCGGGCCGGACCACTCCCTCAGCGACTCGCTGTATGACAGCTTCTCCTCCTGCACCAGCCAGGGCTCCAACGGCGTCTGAGGGAACTGCTGTACCGCTGGACGTGTGGCCCTGTATTGACCTTTCACCTCACTCTTTCACTCTACTGTCAGCGGATCAATGACTTAGATGTTGAAGGGTACAGTTGGCCCATTAGACCTGTTTTTAGGTTTCCATTCCTGGTGGCTACTAGACAATGAGAACTATTGTCTCTTCTCTTGACTCAGTTGACATGGCGGTTTCTGGAACCCAGTGGTACGGATGATCTCGACATCCTCAGAAATCTCTTGATCTTCAAGTGACCATCACGGTCATGGTCAGACCGTCATGTGTGGTGACGATGTCTCCTGGTTTGAGAGGACAGCCCATGTCTCATCAGGTCCAACCATAATAATATTTCACCCTAGATCTTTAGGAATCTTAGAAAATGGTGTTTTGAGAGTCAGTGGCTGAAACCATTGAGATTTCCAATTTTGGAGAATCACAAACCGGTTTTTGCAGTGCAGTGTCTTCACTGCGCCTGATGGCGCCGTTCTTCACTGCTGGCTTAGTAAATCCAAACCTTTCTTTGGGTTTGAACCTCTTCGTTACTTTTCCAAAAGGCTTTAGCAGCCTCACCCACAAGGTGACTCATTAGATTTTCCATACAATCAAAGCACTTAGAAGGTCCGCCAAAATGTACTTAACATGTTTCTCTACTAATCCAGAACCCTGATTAGTAAAGAAACATGTTACCAAATTGTTCTTACTGACATAAACTGTATTTGCACCCAGATTTATGGTTTATACCTCTGCGTTGAGGTGTAAACACAGAGGTATAACTCTGTTGAGTTCCAACAATTGGTCATAAGGACAAGGTTCTCATTTGCCTGTCTTCTGGATTTTGTCCACCATGTGTTCTACTCGTTCCAGTTCTAAGGAGGTGAACCAGGTTTGGGTAAAGACACTACTTGATTAGATCTTGGTTATGTCTTGGTGACATCTTCCCAATGAAGAACCTTTGCGGGATCTTCATTGGGTTTTGGTTAGATCCTGGTTGGGTCTTTGGGTCAATCTGTCATTCACACATCCAGAGGACCCATTTGTCCTCCAAAGCATCGAAGGCAAGACATCTCTACGCTGACATGGGTTTGATTATGTGAGTTTATTTTTCGGTACATCAGTCCTCCGACTGTTTGATCTCTTTTGCTGTCGGTAACTCAGGGAACTTTCTGGACTCACAAAGATTGTAAATGAAAGCATCTTCTCTCCCACATGGAAAACTTTCGATCGTCTCGATGAGTTCAGGTTTCAGAACCGGTCTCTCTCCGATGTAGCATCACTGCAAACCTTTCTACTGTCCTCCGTTTCTCCTCGTGTCTGTATATTATGTTGTACATAAAATCACTATAAGTTAATATCAGAAGGGGCATTGCTGATTGATATGTGACTAAAGCATTTTGTAAAGAAAAGCTGTACATTTTTGCCAGTCGTTCCAACAAACTTTTCCAAACGGCACCAATCGTTTCTGCTCTTTTAAAGAATTGAAGTCTTTATTTTGAATCAATAAATGCAAAAAAAAAAAAAAAAACACTTTAGGTGTAATTATGCCAAATTGTTGTCTGGAATCTGACAAGCTGGTGCTAATAATCAACATAGTTTGGATTTTTTTTTTTTTTCTATGGAACTGTAATTATTGTAAGAAGAGAGTGTGACGGGGAGGGTTGTGTATTTTTCTAGCTGTCCAGTATTTATACCCAGGTTTGGTAGTGTGACTGTCATGCTTCACCTCTTTCCTCCCACGTTTCTTTGTAAAGAAAACTGGTTACCAGCAGTGTTACTTTGGTAATTATTGTTATTATTAATATTATTATTGCTGTGTGCAATTTTGTCTGTTACTCTAGACTTTAAGGCTATATTTTATGTAACTATTTCCTAAATAAATATGAGAAATTATTTCCTATTTCAAACAGAGCCGCCGGCTGTTTATTGATGTGAAAATTGTAGGTTTTAGTTTCATTGTTGTTGCCCCCTCCACCCTCTCCCCCTTGATAGAGAAGGGGGGTAGAGGGGGCGTAATAATCGCGGCATCGCAGTCTGTTGGTGATGGTTCAACGCCGCCCTGTCCCCTGATGGGTAATTACAGGCGCAGGGCCGGACTCACGCCTGGCTGGGTCCGGCTCGGCGCCGCTATTGATCACCGAGCGGACGGGGGTGGATGGGGGGGGGAGAGGGATGGGTGGCGAGAGGGGCTCATTATGCTGAAAATTAAGGTTAATTTGTGCTGAGTCGATGATGTTTCTATTATTTCAGGGGACGAGGGCAGAAAAAGCGCTGAAATAACGAGGTGGAAACGCAGTTTGGGCGACAGGCGGCTTCCATGGAAGAGGTTAATTAGATAGATTAAAACAAAAGTTATTAACCTTTGCGGGATCGCTTGCTGTTCAGGGTAATTATGTTTAAATCACAAACCAAACTTTACTCATGTTTGTTCATTTTTTCTTCTAAGTTCCTAATATTTTTTGGCTTAATCTTTTACAATGTTTGATAATTAGGAAGAAGGATGTTGGACGTTCAGGTGTAACTGCTTAGTTTTCTACTGTCGCACACCGGTTATGACGTGTAGCCATGGCAAACGGGTTTTGCTTTGTGGGTTGTCGATTTTGACCGACTGACTTGCGTCGCGGAATTTCAAGGTGGTGCCTGAACTGAAGAGAGGAGGACGTTCAAAAGCATCTCCAGACAGATTCAAAGAGAAGCAGCAACTCAGGAAGTCGAGAATCCCAACTTGGAGCCGATTCCCCGGAAGGCCAAATGTTTGTGCCGCAGCTGAACCACGTCTGCCTGCTCCATTTCCTGTAAATAAAGGAGACATTTTGCACTTTGCGTGTGTGATTTCCTCTTTCATAAGCTGTGTGGCAGCTAATCTGGTTCTGTTGTGTTTAATACAGCAAGAAATCAGAGACGTCCTGAGTGACGGTGCGAGTCGTCGGCCATATTGGGTTGCGCTCCAGGTAAGACACTAACTGCTCACAACCTCTCTGCGGAACCCCGCTTCTTTAAAACAATAAAAACGTCTTTTCCCGGCAACACCGACAAAATGAATCAAGTCGGAATCGACCTGTAGTGAAATAAAGCAGATTTATAATAACTAGGACGATGTGATCTTGGTGTGAAGGGAGAGAGAGGAGCGAGGTCACGTGGTGCGCCGGATGCTGCTGCGCTCCAGCTCCTTCCTCTCCAGTCGCTCTGAGCGCAGCAACCTGAGCGGAGCTCCGTCCCTCCCTCCGTCATCCCTCCATCCGCGCCCCCAGAGGAGGAGAGGATGATCCGGCGGACCGGCCTCTGATTCCCTCCCGCTCTCATGGTTCTCCTCCGGGCTGCAGGCAGAGGATGCGGCTGCTCGCTTTCGCCACTTTCCTGGGACTCTTCCTGGACGCAGGTGGGTGAGCTGGACGCAACAGGAGCAAAAACACACACACACACACACACACAACTGCATCTGAAATGTTGGGGAAACCGTTTGGTTTTAAGCGCGTGTTTAATACACTTTAGTGGGGGAAAATGCAACAGAAAGAAGGAAAAAAAGTGCGTTTTTGGCGCAAGATCGTGCGCAGTAATCCGTCCTTCTCTGCCGATTCTGATAAATGATTTGAATTTTAGTTGTTGCTTGGATTCAAATGCTCGACTCGTCTCCGGAAAAGTTGCAAAAGTCTCCATTTATCTTTTCTCCGAATTGACGCACTTCCTCACATTGGCGCAGATATAAGACCCATTTTTTTATTATTATTTTTTTTGTAGCGCTTTCTTTTTTACGGATCTTTTTGCGGCGCATTTCAGCTCCTGCTGAGTTTCCACCTCTTGTCTTCTGGCTTTCATCTCCAGAGGCGTTGAATTTCTTTTCATTTATTTCTTTTTTCAGATTTGTTTTTTTCTTTCTGAAATTGAGTTGCCAGGTTTCCTCCTTGCCCTCTGGGCAGGTCCGGTGCGCAGAGGCAGGTTTGCAGGGCAATAAGAAAAGCTCATCTGGTGGAGTCAGAAGCCACAGATGATGGCTTATTTCATTTGATTTTATTTGATCCGTTTTGTTCATGGTCTCCTCTGGTTTTGTCCCTCTTCATGGACAAAATGTGATTTAATTTTTAACATTTTAACTCTGGAGTTCAATCCCGAATGGTTTGTGTTTGTGTGTTTGGAATTTCATCACAAATATTCTCATGTAATTCAAAAAGTACTGCGTTGTTTAATGGGCGGGAAGGATCTGCTGCAGCAGTCTGCGTTGCAGCGAATTTGAAGAAGCCTCTGACTGAAGACTCCGTTTTTCCAAGGCAGCCTGATGGACAGGAAGGTCAGGTTGTCCGTATTGGACCCATTTTGGTTTCTAATGAGACTTGTGAGACCTTTCTCGTATTTCCGCCTCGTGTTCCAGATTGGTTTCATTTCCATGGCGGCCATCTTTAGTTTCTTCCTCCTGAATGACCTGGAGCTTTTTGACGCGATGAAGAAGCAAAAAAAAAAGCGGACGAGATGAAAGAATCAATATTGCAGATTATTAATCCTGAAGGGGAGTGAAGATGTTATTGCGTCGAGGCTGAAGAATCTCCTGTAGCAGTCTGTGTTGCAGTGGTCCTGTAGAAGCCTCTGGTGCTGATTAATGGAATGATGTAATATTGTACGTTTGATGAAGAATCCTTTTTGGTCCTTTTGTTGAAATCATAATTAATAATTATAATTATGAATTAGCTGACATGGTGCCTTCACTGACCAGGGGAAAAAAAGATAGTTTGAAAACTGCCTTTGCAACTTTTATTTTGTTTATCCCTTAAGAGTCAGAATCAGAATCTGCTTTTACATTTATGCTCATTGTGCAGAAACCATATAACATTGAAAAAGAAAACAAAAATAAGGACGAAGGAACGATGCATTTATGTATTTGTTTTTTTGCATAGTGTGAAAGAATAACAGGATTGTTGTGACAGTTAAAAATGCTTATTGAATGAATTTTTTATGTGTTTATTTTTTCCACCACAAACCTTTGGAAAAGCAGACTTAGCAAGTAAAGTCAATTTTTCTGCTTAGTCATCATCAGTTTGTGAGAAAACTATTTTTTTTCTTCTGTCCACTGGCATATTGAAAATCTATAAACACCGTTACCTGGGAAACGTCAAAACATGCAATTATGAGCAGGTTCCAACCCCAAAGAATAGAATAAATACAAATAATAATCTCTATTTCATTAAAAGGCACATTTAAGATTTAAAAGCGGAAAAAAATCATAGAGAAAGATGCATTGAATTACATATTTTAATACTGCTCATTCTTCCAGCTTTATTCGGAAAGTTTTGACATTAAATTGGACATTTTCAACCTGCTATAGGTACATGACTAGGAGCTAGCAACGCTAACGTTAGCATGGCGGCGCTAAAGCTAACGTTAGTATGACGGCGGTGCCTCTTCCTGAACGTCTGCTGATTGAGGTCCGTTTCGCGTGCGTGCGTGCGTGCGTGCGTGTGTGTGTGTGTGTGTGTGTGTGTGTGTGTGTGTGTGTGTGTGTGTGTGTGTGTGACAGGTGACGGCCTCCAGATCCAGTGCTACCAGTGTGAGGGCGTCAACTACGACTGCTCCACGCCTGAGTTCGTCGTCAACTGCACGGTCAACGTCCAGGACATGTGCCAGAAGGAGGTGCTGGTCAAATCCGACGGTACGCCGCGGCTCGCTAACAACACGGCTAGCGTGCTAATTAGCCGAAGGCGCAAATGGCATAGAGCTAGCTTGGTCCGGAACACGAGTCAGCGTAGAAACTCAGTTTCCGGGGAGACATTTTTTGCTGTTCTGACATTTTATTTATTTATTTTTTGATTACGTCTTCGTCGCATTGACATTTTTATTTACTTTTTTTAATTTAAAAAAGGCAACATGAAAAGACATTATTTACGACAGTCTCTTGTGATTTTCGCCGGAACCGACATGATTATCTGCTGTTTCTCTCCTCGGCGGAGACTTAAAGCCGACGCGCGTCCTCACACGAGACGCCTTAGTCACTTCTGTCATTTCTTTTCGGCGCTTCTGAAGGCCATAAAACATCAGAAAATCAGCCGTTTCATCAAACGGAGTGGGTTAGCGTTAGCTTCCAGTGGTTCAAAGTAAAAAGTCAGACCAAACAAAATTAATAACAAGTCATTTAATGCTGTCATTCAAATAATGAGTGACTTTTAGCTCAAAAACAAAAACAAGGAGACAGGACTCTACTAGCCTAACTAGCTTAGCAAACTTAAGCTAATGCAGCTAAATGCTGACTTAGCATTATGAAACCTGCTGAGTTTGTTGAAACGCTAAATATATATATATATATATATATATATATAATATATATATATATATATATATATATATATATATATATATTAGTTGTACAATAGCACTTAGACTAAACAACACAAATGATCAGATGCGATTAAATCATGACCCGGGCTTTGTTTAGACCGTGCGCTCAGCCGGTCATTATGTTCATTTGTTGCAAAAACAAGTTGACGATTATTGCCGTGGAGGAAGGAAACGCTTCATCTCCCGGCGCTGTTGGCGCCGGCCTGCTGTAACATAACAGATGTTGCTAATACAGGAGGAAGCTGGACCTGATAACGGCCGGGAGCTGTCTGCCGTTTTTCTTTACGCAGAAATACAGATAAACATCAGTTAATAAGATCAGGCTGAGGATCGATGTCTCCATAAGTCAAACAGAGCAATAAACCGCTGCAGCGCGCCACAACAAAGCAAAGCTGCCTGTTTGTAATCTGATTACATTAGAGGAAATGTTTCTGTTCTTGGGGGGGAAAGGGAGGCAGTAAAGTCGTCTTCCTCCCGCAGGGACCCACTACAGGAAGTCGTGCGCGTCGTCGTCGGCCTGCCTCATCACCTCCTCCGGCTACCAGCAGTTCTGCACCGGCCGGCTCAACTCGGTCTGCATCAGCTGCTGCAGCACACCGCTCTGCAACGGCGTCAAGAAGAAGCGGCCCGTCCTGTCGGCTGCCGCCCCCATCCGGCAGGCCCTGCTCTTTCTCGTGCCGGCCATGCTGCTCCACCTGACGTAGGCGGACCTCAAACCTGTTCACTGTAACATCTCCCCCGCGTGGCGCTACGCGGGGGAGACGGGACTCTTTTTCTGGTTTGTTGCTCACAAGAGCAAAAAAAAAAAAGGAGCCTTATGTATCCCCTCGGTTGTTTTGTGTTAATAGAAATCATTGGATCAGCTCCTGTGAAGCACGGTAGTGACGGGGTGATGCCGGGGGCCTGTTGGATCCACAATCATGTTAGTGCTACCAGCTTTTGTATCAGATAGCTAAAGAAAAAGCAGCTAAAAGCTTCCATTCCTAAAAAGCCCACTTGGTGTTAATGCTTCAGAAGGTAAGAAGAAAAGCACGGCGGTGGCAGGGTGGTCATACGGGCTTGTTTTATACACCTGAGTATGTTCGTCCAGGGTGGAACGACGTTAGCTTGTGATTTTTTTCAGACCTAAACACTGACGTTCTGTTCAGGTGGGTCCCAGGGTCTGACCGGTGAACGGGTCTGGATTCTGGTTTCCACTTCCCAGTTGCCGGTGTCGCTTTCTGTGAAGTGGAGCGTAATCGGCAGAGCGTTGGATCATGTCAGGCTTTCATTTTATGCTCTCATGGTTTGAAACGGCCGGTGGAGTTGACTTTGTGTTGATATAGTGGTCGTTATTTCTCAGAATTACACTTTATTTATATTTCCTTATATATATATATTGATCCACTGCCAGGCGGTATTTTATCCTTCTTTCATTGCAGGAAGTATAAAGGAACCAAAATGCATCTGTTTAAGTTGCAGTCTACTAATTTACCATCACATAATAGAGCTAATTCTTTCAAATAATAAAAAAAATACAATTTGTGGGACATTTTACATGTCTAAGACATAAATTGTCATTTTTATTATTTCAACAACAAAGACGCTTCACAGCTTCAAATCAAACCTGCATGCTCTCTGGACTCATTACTCTATAAAATTGTCAAATTCAAGAGGAAGGCATTTTTAAAACAAATAAGCACTTTCAGTCGTTGCCATTATTTCCCCGACGCCTTACATTTCCGCCTCCGACAACAAAGTGTCATACATTTGATTTATTTGTTTGAGGTGGATTCGACAGTCTGTTTTTACAGTGCTTTGGTGACAGTGGTGGAGGGACGTCCATGGCTTCTTCTAAAGAGTCTTCTGTGAAGAGTAACACTGTATTCTGCTGATATGTGGTTCCAATAAATGTTCCAGAAAAATCAGCTCTTATATCGTGTTTGTGGGCATTCTGTTCCCCCAGCATGTCTACTGGTGTTCTGGTTCAGCCTTGATGAAAGGCTGAACCAGAACACATCATCATTCGGCTGCAGCCCTGATGATGGACATACAACACCACATATTTCGTTTTCCAAACCATTGAAGAACTGGGAGCAGCGTGAACAGCATGATGGTTTAGCTGCAGCTAAATAATGCAGGCGGTAGTTAGCGGCCGGCTGTGTGGAGGGCGTCCTGCCGACTGGGTGACTGAGCATCATTAGGCCTCAACACGAAGGACGGCTGATGATCACAGCGGGAAAGTGCCGACCGCAGCTCTCCAGGGGCTAAGAAGCGGCAGAAGCAGCAGATTATTAAAAATAATAAGACCCTCCTCTGCCTGGCTCTAATGGCCGCCCAGCCGGGCCCTGACAGCGGCCATACTTCAGCTGATGAGGGACCTCTGGACCTCAGCTTCTGGAAAGAGGGCCGAATTATTTGTTTGTGTGTGGGCAAGGATCAAAAACCTCCAGGGAGTCAATTATCCCTCCATCGCCCTGCTGGAGGAAGCGCCCTCACTTCCTGTGAATCGATGGGGCCGCCGCCGCTACAGGGCCGGCCCTGGAGGAATTAGAAACTCGTTTGGCTGGATGTGGCTCCAGGCTGGATTTAGGGGCTCAAACACTAACCCTACTTTGGGAAGTGGAGGGAAACGCCGTTCTCGTTAAAGCAGCTCCAACGACGGCCTAGTCAAAGTACCTCCAAGGAGGGATCATGAACAAAAAATCTACAAAAATCTTCTATTCATAATGTTGTATTTTGTATTTCAGTAAATGTTATTAGAATCCGTTCTCATTTGGTTTGCTTAGTCAAACTCTTTGGGTTCCTCGTTTTAGACATGATAGGAGCTCTGCTGCCCTCTGGTGGACAACATGCAGAGGTCCAAAACCAATCAGCTGCTCATTTATTCTTTATTCCAGACAGCACTAAATATGATCCAGTTTCCTTCTAAAGTGACTTAGCTGATCGAAGATGGAAATGTTTGGATACGGAGTCGCGAGAGACGAGGTGAGTTGACGTTTAACGGTAAAAACTAAATCCTGATGGAACTGAAGCGTTTTATTCAGCTTCAGTAGTTTTAATATACAATCAAAACATGACATTTATTCACCTCTTCATCTGGCGTATCACTGCCACCTGCTGGTGGAAACAGGAGCCAGCAGCAAAAGCCCTTCACTTAAACCAGAAATCTGGGAGATTAGCAAGAATTATTCCACATCATTGCAACAAAAATGACAAATGTCGACATGTTTACAGATACCATCTTTATGTAAACATCAAACACTGACAGAAATCCCCTTGTGTTCCTTTAAAAATGTTAGGGTTTTTGAGACTTTAAATGTACACAGTAGTAAACTATTTTTAGGTATGTCCTGCATGGTTTGACTGAGAAAGGCACACATGGCAAAAGTTTTATTAAACTGCCTATTTGTTGAAGTCTTGTTATGTTGTGGTTCTAGCTTGGTGGAGTTTCTGAGTTTTAAGTCCAGAAAAGTGACGCGAGCGCCTCATGAAGTCGAAAATTCCAACTTAAAAAGTTTAAGGATTCTTTCAGACGGCCACCTCAAACTCTAATATGGCTGCCGTTCATAAATCTCAATGTGAAAGTTTTAATGAGCATATCATTTCTCCTTTATGGCATTTTATGGCCAGAAACACCAGCAGGTGGTGAGAACAACACGTATTACAATATTTAGCTTCCCATTTTGGATAAAAAAAAGTAGTTTTGAATATGAATCTGAATAAAATTATCCAGATAAAATTGAAAAATATTTAAAGATGTTTACAAAATATGCTACCTTTTGTGTCAACCTGTATTTTATGCTTTATCAAAAGCTCCAGAATCTTGTATTTGTCCTAAAGTCTTAACACAAGCTGGTTGCAGTGCCAGCTCGATCCAACTGAGGGCGCTGTTTCCGCCATGGCGCTGCTGACTCTGCATTCGAAGCTGCTGCCACGGAATCCGGAAGTGCTTCCTACTCGGCGGCTCTTCATTCGGCTGCTGCGGTGGAAAGTCGCCTCTCCAGCCCCTCCTAGCCTCTCTTTGGGGGTCGGTATCTTTGCGTTTGGGTCGTGAAGCGGAGCGGAAACCATGGCAAGTCGGCTCCCGGCTTGTGTTGTTGACTGCGGCACCGGGTGAGTGAGGCTGTCCGCTTTGCTTCTGTTGAAGCCCCTGTCAAACTTCCAGCTAACGCCCTAGAAGCCGCTGTTCCGGGACTCCGCCGGGTCCCTCTCCCCCCGGTAAGCTAGAGCCAGCCGGCCTGCATGGAGTTGGTGGACCCCCCTGAAGCGGCTCGAACCGTCCGGCGGCACGGTTCGGTCCATTTGAGGGACTGGAAGCGGTGATTAGCCGCTGCCTAGCTGCTGGAGCTAAAGCCACTTCCTGGAGAGTCCACCTCTCAGACAGCAGCTCCTACCTGGGCTGATCACAGTCACTGACCTCCAGGCTGCAGCACACTGTCATCATAATCATTTATTTATTATTATGATAAAGTACACATAATTACACCCTGCAACGCATGGATATTTAGTTTAAATCGTGAAGACTTTCTATTTATTTATTATACTGTTGAAATTATATTTGACCAAGTTTGATTAACTGCCAGGTTGTTTTTACATCTTTTCTTATTTGTTTATTTTAGTTTTCTTTTTGTTTTTCTGTGACTTATTTCGTATCTGCGTTACATACATTTTTCAGAACATGTATTACATTTAATAACTAGCTTTCCAGTTTACCAGTTGCTTTGTTTTGTTAATTAGATTTTTACTGTCCAAATTTTTTTTTATTGTATTTTTGTTTATTTGCGTTTAAATTGCGCACTGAATTTAGTATTTTTAGCGCTATGATTTAATTAATTTGAGCGTTTATGAAACGTTCATTTTTTTATATTTATTTGATACCCTTTCTTGAAAATAAGTTAAAATCAACTTTACAATCGAAATTTTTACATATCTGCCAGTTTCATTTGAACTCTTATTCAAAGTTCTGTTGTTTGGATCTCCTCCAGGTACACAAAGCTTGGATATGCAGGAAACACAGAGCCACAGTTCATCATCCCGTCATGTGAGAACCCAGGAAGCTGCATCTCTCTGCTTTGATGATGATGATGATGTCATTATGCTGACAGTCTGCTGGTTTTTGCTGCAGGTATTGCGATCAAGGAATCTGCTAAGGTGGGAGACCAGGCGCAGCGCAGGATGATGAAGGGCGTCGACGACCTGGACTTCTACATCGGAGACGAAGCCATCGACAAACCTTCGTACGCAACGAAGGTGAGTTGGCGCTGAAGCAGCAGTCAGGGTCAGGGGGTCAGCTGTGGTGTTGACGCCTCGTTCTCTCGCAGTGGCCCATCCGTCACGGCATCGTGGAGGACTGGGACCTGATGGAGCGCTTCATGGAGCAGGTCATCTTCAAGTACCTGCGGGCGGAGCCGGAGGACCACTACTTCCTGCTGGTACGGATCGCAGGACGGAGGTGACTGGAGGACGGAGCGAGAACGTTCGCGTTAACGATGGATTCTGGTTCTATGTGCAGACGGAGCCGCCGCTCAACACTCCTGAGAACAGGGAGTACACGGCCGAGATCATGTTCGAATCCTTCAATGTCCCGGGTCTTTACATCGCCGTCCAGGTACGACCAACACCTCAGACCCATCTGACTTTAGACCTGGTTCTCAAAGAGGAAGAGGAAGTTCCTCCAGGAAGCTCTGACTCTCAGTTCCTCTATTAGAAAGTGACGTATTTCTCTGTGTGTATTAATAACGCCAGTGTGTTAGTTGGTAACCTTGTGTTGGTTTATAACCATGGTATTGTTGGTTTACCCTGATGTTTTAGTTAGTAACCCGTTTCTGTTTAACCCCTTGGTGCAGGCTGTCCTGGCGCTGGCCGCCTCCTGGACGTCCCGGCAGGTTGGCGAGCGGACGCTGACGGGAACTGTGATCGATAGCGGAGATGGCGTGACACACGTCATCCCGGTGGTAGGTCTCACTTCCTCTCTTTATACCGCCTCCTTCCTGTATGCCTCAGCCACATCGGTGTCGCCTCTCCCCAGGCTGAAGGCTACGTGATTGGCAGCTGCATCAAGCACATCCCCATCGCCGGTCGAGACATCACCTACTTCACCCAGCAGCTGCTGAGGGAGAGGGAGGTGGGCATTCCTCCGGAGCAGTCGTTGGAGACGGCCAAAGCTGTTAAGGTCCGTACTTCGCTGTTCATCTGCTCAGCCACCAGAGGGCAGCACAGCAAGAGTGATGTGAAAATGTCTGACCTGTTCTCCCAATAGGAGCGGTTCAGCTACGTCTGCCCCGACCTGGTCAAAGAGTTCAACAAGTACGACACGGACGGCTCCAAGTGGATCAAGCAGTACACTGGCGTCAATGCCATCACCAAGAAGGAGTTTACCATTGACGTGGGCTACGAGCGCTTCCTGGGGCCAGAGATATTCTTCCACCCAGAGGTGCCTCCAGAACGCGTCCGGATTGAGCTCTCTGGTCAGAAACAATGAGTTTTAACAGAGTTCTCTCTCTGGTCCAGTTCGCCAACCCAGACTTCACTCAGCCCATCTCGGAGGTGGTGGATGAGGTCATCCAGAACTGCCCTATCGATGTCCGACGTCCTCTCTACAAGGTACAAACAGTTCAGACACTAGTAGACAACCATAGACGCCACGAGACCCGAACAGACGGTGTTGACTCATGTGCCGTTTGTCCTGCAGAACGTGGTTCTGTCCGGTGGTTCCACCATGTTCCGGGACTTTGGCCGGCGCCTGCAGAGGGACCTAAAGAGAACGGTGGACGCCCGGCTGAAGATCAGTGAGGAGCTCAGCGGCGGCAAGCTGAAGGTAAGCCGTCAGCGTTTCATTCTCTTAACTATGTACTTTTTAATGACACGGATCTGTTTGGGTCACAGCCGAAGCCCATCGACGTCCAGGTCGTCACCCACCACATGCAGAGGTACGCCGTGTGGTTCGGAGGGTCCATGCTGGCGTCCACCGTGAGTGTCCCCCTCCTGTCAACATTGTTGGCATTCAACTGTGAGCAGAGCTAACCTGAGGTCTGTCTCTGCAGCCCGAGTTCTACCAGGTGTGCCACACCAAGAAGGACTACGAGGAGATCGGGCCGAGCATCTGCCGCCACAACCCCGTGTTTGGGGTCATGTCCTAGTTCAAGACGGACCAGAAGAAATGTTTGTACGACACAGTGGCGGATTGGAACGCAGCGAGAAGGACCAAACAGACTTCCTGAACGTCACAAGAACCAGAAGTTCTGGTTAAATGTTTCGTATCTCTTCACAGAGTGGTCATTAATCCCCCTCTCTGTGAACGGGCCATAGCATCTCTGGGTCGTCAAGGGAACACTTTGCAAAACCACCTGAAGCTTGTTTTTATTTGTCTGGTTGAAAGGTAATCAGATACTCAGCAATGTGCATCTTGTTTGTTAGCACTGATCAGCAGGTCAAATCAATAAATTGCCTCCGACTGTCATTCTGGACAGCCTGGTTCTGTACAAAATCTGGATTTATAATTGTAATAAATGCGAAGCAGGTGTTTCAAGCTGTGACTGTGTCTGTCTATTCCTGCTCTTCTATTCCTGGAGCGTAACCGGACCTCTTCCTGCCTCGACTGGTCCGTAGGAACCAGTTAGCCGCTCTGTCGTCCAGCCTGGACGTTAAACTCCCGATTCACAGTGAAAGAAAGTCTCGAGGACTGAAAAGACCTGAAGGTTCGGCGCTAACAGGGGTCGCCAGCAGAGGACGCCATGTCTGCCGCAGACAGGATGAAGGCGCTCCTCTTCCTGGCCTTGTTCTCCGGAGCGTCCGGAGCGTTGTTAGCGGTGCTCTGTTGCGGGACGGAGTATTGGCTACTGGCCGCCGAGTCCTGCAGCCGGACCCGAGGGGAGGGCGACAGGAAGAGCAACACCTTCCAGGTAAACTGTGAAAACACCACCGAGCCGTCACAGCCGTAAACGAAAACGACGAACACCTGCATTACATCAAAAGAGTGCCTGCTGCGTTCTTGGACTAAATGACAACTAATTAGAATACATGTCCATTTGAGAGGCTAAACATGACCAACTGTAACCTACAGGTGTGGCAACATAATAGTGGGAAGACCTCCTGAATGAGAGCCGTAAAGAACCAACTGTCGCAACATTGAGATTGATGTTTATCACCAGTTCCTCAGGCTGGTTGTTCTTGTGAGGTCAGGAAGACATGTTAAAACATTTCACAAGCTTCAAAACAGCTATTTGAAATATCACAGTGGAACGGGACTCTTAATTATTTGGGGAATATTCACGTATTTACGACTCAGCAGGTTCGGAAGCCGAGTGACGGAGCGCCGTTAAGTGTCCTTGGCGCTGATTGGCTGAGCCCTCACATTGTCGAAGTTAGCTTGTGTGCTATCGCTAAGGCGGTTTCCACGGTCATTATTGTTGCGTATTAAGGTATATTTGGTGTTGGGGAAATTAAAATGGAGTTTTTAGAGGAGGTAGCAAGTATTCCACCTCTACATGGTGGTCAGCAGGACCTTGCGGAGGCCTTTGACGTCGCAGGTCCTCAAAGCCCCGCCGGAAGTGAGTAATACGGAAGTGCAGAGCCGTTCACTAAATTGGATTATTAAAAAGTCAAGTTATTGTACGCGTTTATTCAGATATATGAAAGCCTTTATTTCGACGAGTTCTGATATTTCAAATAACAGCTTCTTAAAACTCGTTTAAAATTAGACCAATAGCAAACTACTTTTTATTTAGTAGTTTATTTATTTCCTGCCTAAAGGTTATTTTCCAAAGGTATTTCCATCTGATAGGCCATACCCATTGAAATGTCTATTGTAACTTATCGAATGTAGAGCGAAGTCTTTGTCTGAAATGGTTTTTATTATTTAACTGAAACAGAAGAGAATCTTGTCTGTCCTGGTTTTGACAGTTTACTCATCAAATATGGCGTCTTTTCACACCATGACTCTAGATGAGACTTCCTGATCTTATTGGTTGGGTATAAACGTTTCCTACAGAGTTTTTCTGGGACACAGAAAACCACTAAACGGCTCCTGTTGGGCGGGAATGTCCCACAGTGAAAGTGAGTCCGTTTGCAGCGGGATTCAGCGTTTATCTGTTCAGGTTTCTGTGTCTGTCAGCCTGAGGACGGGGTGACGATGTTCCACCAGGGTCTGTTCTGGCGCTGCTTTTTCACCGCTGCCTCCTCTGATTTCTCCATCCTGGACTTCTGGATCAGTGAGAAACCCCCGTAGATTTATTTTTTGTTTTTTTTTTAAGCATAAAACGGTGTCGTCGTATTGGTTTAAATCCGCTTTTCTCCTTCCCCAGTGGGTCGGCCTGAGTCAAAGATCTGCCAGCCTGCCTTCCTATTCCCGTTTCCCGCACCCCACCCAACCTGGACCGGCTTCCCCTCAGAGCCGTACCAACCTGCCTCCGCCATCGGTTGGTACAATCACACAGAGCGCACACACTCTTGACAATCCCCCACTGAGTCACTGGTTTGTTCAGTCTTCAGAACCTTCTGGAGCATCTTCCTTGTCTCAGGCGTGACGGCTGTTGTCATTGGTGGACTCCTGGTGCTATGTGGTGCTCCACTGAACAATCGTAGCCTCTACAGCGCCGGCGGGGCTCTTCAGATCTGTGGAGGTAATAATCAGCAGAGTCTTACCAAAGTTCTTTCTTTCAAAAATAGAGATATTTTTACATAAACCACCAAAGGGTGCATTCTTGGAAAGTTTGCTGGGAAAACAGAACCAGTAGATGCCTTTAATTCACATAGAGTTTAAAAGAAAACTTTGAAAATTCTTCCAAAATATGTTTCTTCTTAAATAGGTTTTTCTTTCGTTCTTGGAGGACAAAATTCCAGTTCCTTCGCCTGCAAATCTGGAAGCAAGTGACAGACGGCAATTATATTTTGGGCCCAACATTTGCTGGAGAAGACGATAAAATAAGTTAAAGGAGTGAGCTTGAAGGCAGGCTTTGTGTAAAAAAAACAAAAACCGAAGCATCCGGTGAAAACGCTTCAAGGACGACTTACCACTCCGTCATCTGCCAAAGATCAGCCGAAAAAAAAAAAAACAAGTTCATGTCAGTCTGTGCACAAACAATTCTTTTTGTCATTTAATAGAAAAACAAACCAGCTTTGAACATGACGATTCCTCCTAATAATAGTACAAACCGGCTTGTTTCTTCTTGAGACGGAGAGGAAAACATTACCCGCTGGGCCTTGGGGAACCGCTGCAGGTTTGCAGCCCAGACGCGGCGAGGACAAAAGCCTCGCAAACGACACGGTGACAAAACACGACAGGCCCGACACGAGACGGGGTTGAACTGAGGGACGGCTGCGAACAGGGGCCGCGAACACGCGGAGCTCCCTGAAACGACGACGTGTCTGACTTCTGTCGGCTGCGAAACACAAAAGGCGCTGTCACGTCTTTTGCTATTGTCTGGGTTTTGTTTGGTTCTTTTGAAGCCGGGGCAGTAGGGGGGGGATTAAAAGGCGTTATTGACGATTGCTGTTGTCGTCTTCATGTGTTTCTGAGGCGTGTGCCTGCTGGTCGTCATGGCGATGTACCTGGTGTGGGTCCAGGTGCTGGACACCCTGGAGCAGTTCGCCGCCCATCAGCGCAGCGTCTCCGGCTGCCCGTCCTACCAGCTCAGCGTCCAGCAGGGCCCGTCCTTCCTCCTGGCGCCCGCCGCCGGCTTCCTCTGCCTGCTGGCCGGACTCCTCTTCACCCTGGTGGGGCGCGGCGTTCAGGGGGTCCGCTCGGACCCAACCGTCCCGGGCCCATCTGAAACCGAGCTGTGATGAGCGTGTCCTCTTCCACAAACTCTTTGGGACAAAAACAATTCAATTGTAGCATATATTAATAGCAACTTATGCTACAGACAATTTATGCTTTACACCTGTTGAAGTTGTTACTTGCATATGTTGTTAGGATCATATCAGTCTGTATCTGTTTGTTTTATATCAGATACAGATTCCTCTAGAGAGCCCACAGAAATCGTTCATTTTGTTCTGTTCCCACTTTGATCCAATAAAGTCGCATTGAACTGATCCAACTCGACTCCAGACGCAGTTTCTCCTCCTTCCACCTGTCAGGATTCAGGTATAAATCACACGGCCAAACACAAGTGGGAGCCTTCATTGATCGTTGGTTACTACGGATTATTTTTCTAATTTATTTACGGCGTCCCATCGTGATTAGTCCCCCAGCTCTCTCGCTCTGCTTGTATTATTCCTGATGAATCGGTTTTGACAAAAACGTGGCGAGGAGTCCTCGGCTGGCGTCGCCGCCGATCGGTTTTCAGGGGGCCGAGTAGATTGACTGCGACCGCGGCCGCCTGTCATCTCCACGTCAGGTTGAAAGTCCGGGTCACAGAGATGGATATTACAATAAATTAGACTGTCATCATCCATTTTCTGACAGCGGGGACACTGCAGAAGTGTGCAAGCAGGTGGCCAGCCAGAAGAGGGCAGTATTGGTTCACTTTGGTCACCACATCCCAATGATGGCCATCAACATCACTGCCAAATGCAAAGTTGCTCCGCTCACATCAGATTAGGCCTGCAAAGGCTTCTACATCTCTAAGTGATAATTATTTCAGCTCCCGAAGAACAGAAAGAAAATGATTCTTTATTCCTGAAGTTCAGCGTGTTTAACATGATATGAGGAGAAGGGGGCTGGGGGATGTCGCAGTCACACCTTTATAATTGGAAAAGGCAAACAGAAGTGAGACCCTGAAATGATAAAGTGACAAAAGACACTTCGCATCAGTGAGTATTTCAATATTCCTTCATGTCTGACGCTCCTGTTCTTATCCGTCCCTTTGCTTCCTAATCTCCGCCGTGAACTTGGCGAGCATAATTACACCTGAGCGTGTCACTTTGGCTCCCCGGCCCTCGCCGCCCGTAAACGCCTCAGTCACCGCCTAGTCCTTGCCTTCTAATGAACACCAGGGGACGGAGTCCAATCGATGTTTGAGAATGTGGCAGATTCATTATTTGATCGCAGAATGCCAGGCGCTGCTGTAGCTGTCAACCGGGCATGCAACGCAATCTCTGCTCCGCTATCTGCTCCTCGCATCCCGTCACTCCGGGCTTTTGTCCTCCGGAGATGGAGCTGTCTGCCGCAATTACAGCAGGACATGGCGAGGACGCGGGGCGTCCCGCTTCAAAAGACGACGGGACGTCTAAATCGGCTTCAATTGATACCAAGAACTGGTTCAAAACTACAGTCGCCTCTCAGTTTGACGTTCTCTTCCAGTTCCCGGAAAAAACAAAACAAAGAACCATTTTGCGTCTTAAGCTGTTGTGTCCACCTGTCCGTCCCGTTGGACAGAGACTGAGCCCGGTCCTGGTGCTAGTAGGGTCCGTTAAAAGAAGAGACGGGCCTGGTGTCGCTGCAGCAGGTGGAAGGTTCTGATACTGAATACTCTATAGGTCTAAAAATCAACATTTGTCTTACTGAGTAAGAGCAAATACATTTTGCACTTAGTGGAAAAAAAATTCTAATGGAATGCATTGTGTAATATGGCTTTTCCTTAAAAGTATGCCGTTAAATCCAGAACCTCTAGCAATCCACAGTACAGGCTCTGCCCACTTACTGTGCAAAATTTAATTCCAAATAAATGAAGCATAGACATTTTGGAAGGTATTAGTTGATGAAATTCCAGGTGAAACTGAAAAAAAGACAGAAAAGTGAATCTACATAAGTACAGATGTGGAAGAACCAGATGGCTGGTTCTGTTGGACATTGTTGGACATTGATAGAAAGTTGGGTAGGACTCTCCGGTCCAGCTCTGAACCGATTTGAATCTTGGGTAAAGAATTGGGAATTCTTTGTCAATAGGTAACTTATCATCAGAGCGGGTTTGAATGACCTTTCTTGTTTTCCATCTTAAATTGCATTTCACAAGTCAGTCCAGTTGGTGGCGGTAATGTACCATTACAATCGGTCTGTCCGCCGCCATTGAGCACAAGAACAAGAAACAGAAGCAGAAGAAATAATAATTTAGCGTGGTTTGTGATTCCCTGGATTATTTACTTGTTTCTAAATAGTTAACATTTTCCCTGACAAAGTTACTGAAGGCGCTTTTGCATTTCAGCGGCGGACAAGCGGCCCGACCTCTGCGGACGTTTTTGCCCGGCTGCTGAACTCCCGAAGCGTCCGAGATGGAAATGGCGTCAGGAAACCAGCACGTGGAAGCTGGACATCGAAGAAGAATCGCTACAATCAAGTGTGGATCTGCTGGACTCATTATTAAGGTAAGAGAAACAGCAGCTGAGAAGATTGCTAAAGCTAACGGTGGTGTCGATGCTAACGGTGTTGTTGATGCTAACGGTGTTTGTTTTTTTTAAACTTTATTTAAACAAAGTAAACACAAACAAGTAAGGCAATTACAACAGTGCAACTCCGTTGAAGGCATATTATAAAATGGAATAGTAAAGTAATATGGCTAAGAAAAAAATAATATTAATGAAACAATAAAATAGCAACAAGAGATTTCAATTGTTCGTAGTTTAACATGCAAGTTGTAATAGACCAATTATTCTTCTCCATCCAATCTTTGTAAAATAAGGATTTATTGCGATGTATTATCAATCTGTTATTCCATATGATGGAGGAGTGTAGTAATTTTCCAGTGTAGTAATACTTGTTCATGGAACAATTTATTTATCTTGAAATCAGCTGGAAGTCCAAGTTTTAGACCACCTATTTTGATAAATACATAATTTGGAACACGGTACCAAAATAACTGGGAATTTTTAACCCAGGATTTCAACCAATTAATTTTAAGGGTTCCATTAAGACATTCAAAGTCAATTTGTTTTCAATAGTTAAGGTTGATTCTTGGTTTTTGGTTATAACATTTCCCGAGTATTTAATTGGAATGCTAGATATGTCTTTTAGGGAAGTGTCATGAATGGCTATAAGCTCACATTTTTTTAAATTTAGTTAGTCCTGAAGCCTCTGAAAAAAGAAATTATGTTTTCAATTACAATTGGAACTTGCTTGTTGTTTTCTAAGAAAACAGTGGTGTCATCTGCTAACTGGCTAATAATTAATTCTGTACTGAAAACGTCTAATTTCTCAACGTCTGCACAGTTTTTAAGATGGATTACTAACATTTCTGCACTAAATTAAAGGGATATGGGGAAATGGGACATCCTTGAGGGATTCCAACATTGATGTTAAATCTAGCTGTGGTGCCCTTAGGTAGTATTACAGAACTATTAATGTTTTGATATAAACCAAAACCTAAATATTCAAGAACTTACAATAAGAATTGATGTTCCACTGAGTCAAACGCTTTATAAAAGTCAAGGAAAAGGTCCTTCACCAGTCTGATATTGTTGTGGATTGACCTTCCTTTTAAGAAGCCAAATTGTGATTCTGCAATAATGTTTGAGATCCCCGTGTGGAGATGCATGGTAAATATGTATGTTAGTAACTTAGAATCTGAATTTCTGAGTGTAATAGGTCTTCTATTCTCAATAGATCTGTGGTCCTTGTCTGGTTTGTGGATACATATAGTAATACCTTGATTCATCGTCATAGGTATTGTATAGTTTTTAAAAAATTCTGTAAAAATTTGATGCAGTAATATTTTTATGTCTTCCCAAAAGTGTTTCTGAAAGTTTCCTGTCAGTCCATCTGGACCCGCTGCTTTGTTTAATGATAAGCGATCAACATCCTTATCAAGTTCTTCTATTGTAATCTTGTTGCCACAAGTTTTTTTTAATAATCCGCTATTTTAGGGATAAATGTTTCAATTTGTTTTAAGAAGATGGGAGATTTTTGTTCTGAGAATTTGGAGGTATATAAGTTGTTATCGAATTTAAAAATCTCTGTGAATATTAAGTTTTCATTGTTGGTTTCTACATTATTTATTATTAAGGATTTGATCGAATTTTGTCTTCTTTCTCGATTACAAAAGTACGCCTTGTTTTTTTTCTCATTCTTCGATCCATCTTGCTCTTGATCTCATAAAAGCCCCTTTGGTCCTTTGAATATACATTTCATCTAATTTGGGTTGGAGGACTTGTATTTTTGTTTGTCTTCAATTGAGGGATTGGGCTTATTGCAATATAAATTTAGTTGTTGTATAATATCTAGATCTTTTTTCATTTGTTTACTGAACGAGATAGAAAATTCTCTGATCTTGTAATTCCCATTTTTGGACAGGACTATTTAAATCTTCAGAGTTCTTAATATTTTGGATCAGTTCTTTGATTTTTTTGGCAGTAGCTGTCATTTTTAAGGAGACTGTAGTTCAATTTCCAATATTTACTTGTTATTATTATTATTAATTTACCACTATAGTCCTTTTTTGTGTCAAGTCTGGACTTTATAGATGTTTAACTACTTGGCTACCCAGAGCTCATTACTGCCCATCTGCGCTCTCCGCCATCTTGATGCCGATCTCTATGCTAACGGTGTTGTCGATGCTAACGGTGTTTACAGGAAATAAAAAATGGCTGCCAACGCTTTGGAGAATATCGTTAAAATCAGTTCTCTCTGAAAGTCATTCAGAGGTTTAGTAAATCTCATTTTCATAAAAAGATATTTTATGACAATACCTCAAGCTTAAGTTATTTTACATGGCTTTTTAGACAAAAGTAAAGATGAGACCAATGTATTTAAGTGAAAACCAATACAGTTCATGTTCTACAAAAATGTACAAGTTAAACAATAAATATTGGTCTTCGTGGGAATTAAATGACTTCACACTTATTTCAGTTTTGTTGTAGCACCTTCTTTCCTGTAGGGGGCATCGGCTGAGTTACTGATGTACATAACTCAATGTTCTCCCTCTGGAGATGATCCTCAGAGCCCTGCCTTTCAGTTTGTTTCTTCCTACATACTTTACAACCAGCTCAGACCTGAACTGTTTAGAAACGTTTCCATCCTAGATTAATACGTTTAGCCAAGTTGAATAACAAACATTATTGGAATGGAAAGAGGAGTTTCATAGCTCTCAATGCTAGATACAGAAGCATTTTTCTTTGATATACTTTTCCATTAGCTTCTGTTGTATCCTTGCTGATGTTTG